TAATCGCATGTTATGAATTTTACATTGAAATCCCTATGATGTGTTACGCCACCCTGTATACCTACCGTGTATCACAAGATGAACGCACCCTAGGCAAACAACAAGGTATTTTTTCGCAAAGGATCCCCTAGGCTTTTGAAACAACAATAAAAACATTTTACTGTATAAAACGCAATATTGCAAATAATATTTAATATAAATATAATATGCGATACATCAAAATTTAGGAAATGTTACGCTCGTTTAAAAAACTCTAAAATATATTATGTATAGGGTGGTCCGTATGAAAAAATATAGTTTAGAGTCTTATAAGAAAAACAAAACACCCTGTATAAAAACTGTGTATCGCAATGCATGTTACATAAAAAAGTGCTCTGAGAAAGATTTTGCCAAAATCAATTATTTTTAATAATAAGAAAGTTATGGGGCATTAAGGAAATCGACTAAATTCGAGATGCTGCTCTTGTTCATTGCACAGCAGATCCAGTGTAAATTGTATCAGCATTTGGAAATGTTCGACTATTCATTACAAAACAAGAATAAGATTTCCCAGATACTTACGTATGGCACTTGCGCGGCATTAAATATCCTTCTAATCCAGGCTTAATAAGCAAATTTGGTACAATATTTTGACAAGAACGACACTGTATCGTAATTTTTGTAGCTTTCGCCTTAACGCCTGAAGTAGTAACTATAATTCCCGGTATTTTTACCAAATGTGATACAACGTCAGACTGCAACATTTACCTTACAATGGCCATTGAAACAAAGCAGATCTCTTACTTTAAGCGCTCTTAAATTAGACGGATTTGCATCAGACGTGAGCATTATTTGTATCTCCTCCACATTCTCTTCGCCCTCCGGTCTTGGACTTGTCAACTCGTCTGCAACCTCTTTTGCGGCCTCTTCGAAGATGGGAAGATGTTCGGTTGGTTGTTTAAGTATTTTATCGGCCAATGTTTCGTTAAAGCTACCCAAGTCTTCCAAATTCACCTCCAAATAGTAATTTTGCATGTTGTAATTGCGTTTCAATGTATCTCTGTCAAGTAATATGTATATAGAATTCTTGCTCTAATTTTATGAGTTATTGGTTACCTGTATGTGTAATTAAAATTGTCAGTATGAAATTCTCTGAGAAAGCTTTTAAATTTCTTTTTGATACCCTGTAGATTAGTTTGAACATCGTTCTGGTTATCTTCGGGGGCGAAATTATCGCTGAAGAAGATTCCAGCATTGTCAAACCCCTCCATTCTTCTTTTTACGTGCACAAAGAGCAAAAATACCAAGACAGAACAGATAATTTCAAAGACAAAGCACCGCGACCGTATTACAATTTACAAATTCTTACAACGTATAACCTCTAAAAGTTGCTTGTTGCCAGAAACCGCGGGAAGCACATAACAGCGTTGCCAAATGTCAAACAACGAAAAATTTCTTATTGCCATGTCTCTTAAAAAACCCACTACACACAGAATGTAAATTAAAAGTAGCCCGTGAGATATGGTGGAAATTAAAAGCATCGAGAACGTTCGACGACATCGACAGTGCTCCGGACTGATATCCGATATGATCATTGAATCTGTTCCGTCTATCTTACGCTTTAGCTGCTAAATGAATTGCCCTCCCTTGCCTCATCAGACAATATAGTTACAAGCCGCAACTGGTAAATATTACTGCCAAGAAAAGAAGATTTCATGGCTCCGTTTTTTGTTTATTAAAGAAAGAGAATTTCGACAAAATGCCTGTTCAGACTGGCAAGAAAAGTGTCGTGTGAGTTCTTCCGCGAGTTCTGTCAAATGAACTCGCAATCGCAATGCTATTTAACCAGTAGTGTCCGAAGGTAAAAAACGCGCGAGTTTTCTTGCTAGTCTAAAGGCACCTTTAGAACCGTGAGGGCAGGGTCTAAGGGTTGAGCCCAAGTCAACAGCTCAGTCTAAAATATTTATACGTACAGGGAGTTCCTAAATATGATGTAAATGAAGTTTATATAAACATATAGGTCCGTAAACGATTCGTACCATTCTACAGTGTTACAAGGTCCACTCAAACAGACATTCCAATTTTTGATTTGGTGCCCTGGTTCGAAGTTATATTGGTGTTCTTTTGTTTTTCGAAAGGTCGTCTGTTTTAAGGACCTTATTTTAAGGACTATTGAAAAAAAAAAGTTTTTAAACTATATTTCAACTCTCTAAAACATTTGTATTTATAATTATTTTTTATTTTTTCAAATAATCAAAGACCGATCAAAAATTCCAAAAAAACAATTTTTTATAACCTCCCCATCGATTTTTGAAAGTAAAACATTTATAAACTCCTTACACTATCTACTACCAAATTTATCCTAAATATTTTTTTCAATCTATCGTACGAATGGTGGCCATTATGGAAATCGAAATTGAAAAAAAATTGAAAAAATTTTTAGGACAAATGCAGTACATAGATGGTGTAGGGATTTTATAACTGGCTTTGAAAAATCGATGGGGTGGTTATCAAAAAAGTTTTTTTTTTTATTTTTGATCAGTCACATCCTTTCGAAATGTTAATTAGGATTAAACCTATGATGATCACTAAAATTGTAGCTAAAAACCCTACTAGGGTCCTATACCTATACCATTGATTAGGTACCTATACACACATCAATGTCTATACTTAGATACTTCAGAATTTATATGCGACGGTACAAGTGAACAAGTACAAATTATGCACAATCCTTGTGCAGGTAAAACGCATTTTTTTAAACACCCCTACGAAATTTGTTCCATAAATAAGAAAGTTGGCACTGCACATCCTACACAAAACCAAATTTGGAAAACGGCGCTACATTTGCCTTTATTTCAAGTGGCTATGTATCCAATTTCATTTAAATCTCTCCATGAATAAGAAAGTTAGCACTGCGCATGCGCAAAACCAAATTTTGAAACTGGTGTTAAATTTTCTTTTATTCCAAGTGGCTATGTATCAAATTTCATTTAAATGCCCAATGGTTATATTTCTTCCAAACGTCCCAATCGCCCTTTGTAGGTATTTTCCTTTGACAATTCACTCTTAAGATATAAGGAATTATAACCAATTACGACAAGGGATCGAGGAGGAAGACTATGGTTAGTATAAATTAATTCCTTTCGTTGAGACCTTTCATTAGAGTACCATATGAAGGATAAAACTAATTCCACTCCCTCCTCCCTTTCCCCTCCACCCCGTACTTTGATAAGAGGACATAAAGAAGTGCAGTAGTTTGTAGAAAACTGTTCCTTTCGTTGAGACCTTTAATTAGAATACAATGAGAGATAAAATTAATGTTTAACTCAGACCCCGTCGCTCACTTATCTCGAAAAAGAGTCGCACGAGAAAGTTGTGGTTTGTACAAACCAATTTATTTCGATGAAACCTTTCATTAGAATACCATGTGTTAACCCCCCCCCCATTTTCTAAAGTTTAACTTGGTACCACTAAAGGCATGCGTATGCACAATCTGATATCAATTGGTTGTCGTATGTAAAAGTTAAGTATAGGCTACCTACTGCAAACAATTCCAGGACTCTATAACTCTGTTTTTAAACTAAGAGGAGTAAATTGAAAAGTCTGATTTACATCCGAAAAAGTTACTAAATTTAGTAACTTTTGGGCAATTGTTTTAAGTATGATACATACGTACACATGTGCATTATGGGTTGCCTACTACATAAGGCATACATTATAAAAAAATGCAGTGTTGATCATTTTTATGGCTTTTTAATACACTTTACCCTACACAATTTGGTTGACAAGAAATTTTAATTATTATGTAGACATAAATGCAATCATTTTATAAAATCAAAAGGTGCTAGCTACAATATATTGTAAAGTTACAGCATTTTCAGGAATTTTCACTAAGAAAGATGCAAACCATTCTTCAGACACTTCCGCATTCATTTCTTCGTGATAATGGATGTTTTTCTTCCTTCAAAAAGTAGTAGACCCTCGTTTACGAAACTGTTTTCAGAGCCAACATGTAAAATAATGAGACGTTTCCCTTTTCCAGAAGGATTTTTTAAACCGGTAGACAATCCTTCCTCAAACGCTTGTCGTCGAGTACGAACGTTATCATCAGCCCACACTGTTTTGTATGGCCTTCATTTAACCATGTTTCATCTAAGTAATATATGACTCGTCCTTGGTTCCTATATTGTTTAATAGATTTTAAATGCTTTCGTCTCCATCTTATTATGTCGTCACGTTCAAGTAGATGAAGGACACATTCTTCACGACTATTGATTTTGTCCAACGTGGGAAGTTCATTGAGGTAGAAAAAGTTGTGAATAATTTGACGAACTGATGATTTTATGCTTTCGTCAAATTGCGATACCAAAGGTGGGCGACCCCCCGAACGTTTAGAAGGTGTTACAGCTCCCGTTTTCTTATACTCCTTTATTGTTCGGTCAACCGTGGATTTTGCAATTCCTATATAAAAAAGTGTGTGTGTTAAATTAACATTTAATTTGTATTTCGTTTCTTACCTGCGCCTTCATCAATTTTTGCAACAATGGTAACCATCTTTGTGCCAGGGTCATCATTTAACATCTGTTTATATAAGTCGAGTATGAACTGCTTTTCTGAGATCGATAAATGCCCCAAATTAAGACGCGTACGCTTTTTTACAGGTGAAATGTTCGCTTTACTAAGTACTTGGCGTGGAAGACATATTTCGAAGTATTTGCACCAACAAAATCAAGTACAGGTACCCGGTTTAGTTCTAATAAGAACTGACTGTTTAATTGAAATTTGAACAAGAGTTAAAACACACGAAAAGGGCAAAATTAAATAAAATACTAATAACACAATTGTAAATGACACAGCGAATAACGATGTCAACTGAATTGTCAAGATCCTCAAATTGCGTCTGTGTAAAAACGGCGCCGTATAAGCCAATCACAATGCAGATTTTTCGCGGGAGCTATTTAAATCACTCCTCTTAGTTTAAAAACGGACTATAGTACCACTTAAATCTGTGCTAGTACCATTCCCCTAGTAGTTCAAAACGGTAGAAGTGGGTCCGGGCGGACGGACGGACAAAACGTAAACAATAGCACATTTTTTTTTATTCTTAAAAAATGCGCTAAATTAAAATACGGTGTTGTTGCACAAGTGGATCAAGATTGACGTGGCTACATATTCAAGGTACAATTATAGAACCTATCTTCTTTATTCAAAAATTCGAACCACGTCCATAAGCAGGTTGATTTTTTATTTAGGTACACGAAGGGAGTTTCTGTCATTCTGACAAATGTTTTAAGTAAGTGCCATTATTTCCACTTTTACGTTTTAAGCTTTCAAAGTCGACTGCAACACAGATTTTACGTATATCTGTGACTCCAAATTGCTCTACACACATTTTATCAATTGCGGATCTGAACAGTACGGATGTGTATATAAAGCGATTGCAAGTTAAATGCCTATTTGCCTATACCTACCTATAACTATTCCACTTTGCGCAACGAAGTAAACAATTTATTTTTAAAACTTCGTTCATATAAAGTTGCCCCTCTACATAATCTTTGGCATTCGACAATAAAATAAACTCGCCATAATTGAGATAAAGTACAGGAAATTTTCATTAGTTTCAATTGTATTTGTTGCATAACTCGTAAGGAACGCAGAATGGCAAGTCAAACGCAAGGAATTCAACAACTTTTGGCGGCCGAAAAAAAGGCAGCGGAAAAAGTTAGCGAAGCCAGAAAACGTAAGTAGGTATATATATTTATACATCGATTATTTTTAGTATGTAGTGCGGTTTTGTTATGTTCGGTAAAAGATCGGAAGTATTTGAACGATTTTATTGATTACCTAACGCTTATTACATCTCTTCTATAGGTAAAACGAAAAGAATCAAACAAGCGCGGGAAGAGGCAACTGCAGAAATAGAGAAATATCGGCAAGAGAGGGAAAAGCAATATAAAGAATTTGAACATAAACATCTGGGATCCAAAGAAGACATCGCGGCCAGGATCGACAAAAATACACAGGTCCATTTTGAACAGATTGCAAGTGATGTTCAGAACAATAAAGAACAGGTAGGTAATTCAGCTTTTCCCAATAATATTCACGTTTGGTAAAAACTGTGAAATACAGGGGTCGGTTAAGTTGGCCTCCCCCATTAAACATTTCGTTATGATATTACCATGTAATAATGCGCTCGATATGCGCTCAAACGCGCCGCTGAAAGTAATTTTTGCGCTGTTAAAGTTTTTGAGATATTTTGAAAAACATTTGGGGGGGTTCAAGTTCAAGCAGCCCCCCCCCCATTATGCAATTTGGTATATCTGATGATTCCAAATTGTGCCTGTAGTTATGCGCTAAACTGCGCCACTGGATTAACATTTTGCATCACTACCGTATGACCATAACGAAAGACAGAAGGTGGGTGGGGCTAAATTGATGGTTTTAAAAAAGTGCACTTTCTTAAACATTCTTAGTGCTATATGTTCCCGTTTAGTTATGCGCTCAAATGCGCCGCTGAAAGTAACTTTTGCGCTGTTATAGTTTTTGAGATAAAACATTTGGGAGGGTTCAAGTTCACGCAGCCCCCCCCCCACCCCATTACGCAATTTGGTATATCTGATGGTTTTGTTGTTTACTATACGTTATTCATCACTGCATCAAATTCAAATTCCGACAACGGCGGCACCTTACATGTGCTAATCACGAAGTGTTTAATTTATGGAGCGACAACAATGGAACGTTTGCATTTACCTCTTACCTTACCTGCTTTACTTTAATCCCTATCTTCTTCCTGTTAGTCACGTCCAGTAAAGTACTGGCATTTTTACTTTCAGGCGCCGCATGCTAATCTTGAGTATGATCAAAGAGTACCATAGCACCTACTCTTTGGTATGATTTATGAATAGCTATACCATATACCTATGGGCCGCTATAGTGAATTATGTCATAAGGTTATAAGGTAATAGTGTGCGTATTACAGGTGAGTAATCGATGCAGAGTGCCAGAATTCTACGTAGGTACCCGTAATACGCAAATTACAACCAAATTACGTAGGTACATTACTTTTACCAATTACCTCCATGAATTTCGAAATCAAAATAAGGCAAAACCGAAAACGACAATTGTGATAACATTAATGATAATTTTTCAAGGTCGTTATGAAGCCCTTTGTGCCGCAATGCTGCACATGAACGTTTGGATTTTGAATTATGCAAATTACTTCCAATACTGCGAATGCAGTATATCANTGATTCCTATAGTACCTGCCACCGTTTGGGAGCGTGTAGGTGGTGCGTAGGGGAGTATTTTGATATAGGACACTTGGGGTCGGAAATCTAAAATAAGGGTGCCAGAGCCAAATTTACCTTCTGGAATTTCACGCCTGTAGGTAGGCAACCCAACCGGCCGGCGGTGCACACGGAGCGATCTCAGGCGGCGATGTGTGGCTGACACTTGATCAGAATTTTGTTTAAACCCACGAATTCCCGTCTGCAACGACGCGTATCAAGTGAATAAACACTATGGCAATAGTATAATAATAGTTGGCTAGATGTAGGAAGTGCATTGAGAACAACGGTGGCCACGTTGAACACTTGTAAACGTTATTGCTTTTGACTGTCGTTTTCCCTCCTTCCCTCCCATGTCGCTTCCTCACGCTAACTCGCTCTTCCCTCCCATGTCGCTCCCTCGCGCTAACTCGCTCTGCATCGCTCCGCGCGAAACGTCGGTCGGTTGGGTTGCCTACATACAGGCGTGAAATTCCAGAAGATAAATTTGGTTCTGCCGCCCTTATTTTAGATTTCCGACCCCAAGTGTCCTATATCAAAATACTCCCCTAGGCACCCCCTATACGCTCCCAAACGGTGGCAGGTACTATAGGAATCACCCTGTATACACAAAATAGAAGATAGTTTTTTTATACCGATGGTGTAGAAAAAATTGTTTAGAAATGCAAATAAAACCTAAATACTAAGTGTGAAATAGAAAATCGTATGTTTATGGTTTAGTAGGAAAATATGTTTTTCTTGGTCCGACGGCATAATTAAAGCAAACGTTTTTTAATCGTTCAACGTGCACCCAGTTGGCATCGTTGGCTGCGTGATGAACTCCCCCCCCCCTCAATGTTTTTCAAAATCTCTCAAAAACTTAAACGGCGCAAAGGTTACTTTCAGCGGCGCATTTGAGCGCATAACTAAAGGGAACATATAGCACTAAGAATGTTTAAGAAAGTGCACTTTTTTAAAACCATCAATTTAGCCCCACCCACCTTTTGTCTTTCGTTATGGCCATACGGGAGTGGCGCAAAATGTTAATCCAGTGGCGCAGTTTAGCGCATAACTACAGGCATAAGTTGGCATCACCAGTAATACCGAATTGCTTAATGGGGGGGCTGCGTGAACTTGAACCCCCCCAAATGTTTTTCAAAATATCTCAAAAACTATAACAGCGCAAAAGTTAGTTTCAGCGGCGCATTTGAGCGCATAACTAAAGGGAACATATAGCACTAAGAATCTTTAAGAAAGTGCACTTTTTTAAAACCATCAATTTAGCCCCACCCACCTTCTGTCTTTCGTTATGGCCATACGGTAGTGGCGCAAAATGTTAATCCAGTGGCGCAGTTTAGCGCATAACTACAGGCACAATTTGGAATCATAAGATGTACCAAATTGCATAATGGGGGGGGCTGCGTGAACTTGAACCCCCCCAAATGTTTTTCAAAATATCTCAAAAACTTTAACAGCGCAAAAATTACTTTCAGCGGCGCGTTTGAGCGCATATCGAGCGCATTATTACATGGTAATATCATAACGAAATGTTTAATGGGGGGGGGGGGGCCAACTTAACCGACCCGAAATACAGTATTATTATACGGGGTGGTGACTATGACGAACGCACCATAGAAATTTCAATAGTAATTTTTTAATTTTCGATTATTGGCTCCCCTAATTATTTTAGAGATAAAGCCGATTTAGCTTTTTTTAGAGAAAGCTATAGTATGCATGGGTTCGTAATTTTTTTCTCTACCAAAAATTGAAATAGACTTTATCTCTAAAATAATTTGGGAAGCCAATAATCTGAAATGAAAAAAATACTATTGAAGTCACCACCCGGTATACCGGTGTCCCAACATAAATTTTAGCGCAAAATTAATTGACATAAATCCAAAAACCGGAGCACCAAAAATAATTGTGCTACAGGTTGCAACCCAAATTTTCGTTGCGACATCTTGTAGAGGTATAGCTTTGAAGAGCTGTGAAATAAGGTAAATCCCCTCGACTATCGCAAGGTGAATCTACCAGTGATTTACGATAGATGGTTTTATCCACAGCACAGAACATGTTTTATTGTTTTGTTTTATAGCGGAAGCCATACCACAATAAAACATTTTTTAGAATTTAATTAATGTCAAAAAAGCAGTAATTAACTCATCCACCTACCCATTGAACGATTAATATTGACGGAGGTCACGTTTTATTAGTGACAATGACAGGAGTCAATTACCTTCATTGTAAACCTGAGATCGTTTGTGGATGTCATCCAATAATTATGTAATAACTTTAACTTTGTGACAGATGTCGCATTAGATTGCACATTTGTTTGTTTTTATTTTATAGCAGATGAGACATTTTAATAGGTTTAAATGAGTAGACTAAAGACTGATCTCTTAAACCGTAAGGGTAGATAAAGTCAAACAAATGATTGTACAATCTAAGGACATCTGTTATACTTATTAGAAATGGAATACGGAGCACAAAATAAATTGAAGTTCAGCACAGAAAATAATATTGTTTCCATGGAAACGACGGGAGACTGAAGCTTGCTATTTTTGACGTCTAAATTAAATCCAAGAGTATATATAACGTTATATACTCTTTGATTAAATTCAGAATTTTCGGAAGTTTTATAATAATTGATATGGCTTCTGCTATAAAATAAGGTTTTCTATTATATACGACGATATACAGGGAAACTAACTAACTCGTGAAAGTTAAATTAACTAACTTATTTAAGATCGTTGAACACATGATATAATCTAAAATATTTTTTTGTTTCAGATATTGAAAGAATTGTTGGACTTGGTCTACAATATTAAGGCCGATGTCCATCCCAATTATTTCGTTGTAAATCCTCGTAAACACTAAATTGTTATTAGAGACTACTTGCGATGATCCATAGCTAGATCAATGAAAAGAATGTAAGGAGAAACTTTAGCAACACATGTATGTAACACACTAATGTTCTTGTTGTGAATGTAAGTCAAATATCACATTAAATTAACTTTATCAACTATTTTTTATTACGTATTTGTCTTCTTAAAAACATATATGCTAGTATATGCGATATGCCCTATTAAATTGTATAGTTAGGATGAATCACGCGCAGTAAATGCTACCTAAATCCTTTTCCCACTAGTCTTTCTTGTCTGCAACTCACCGCAGGACCCATTCCGCAGTCGCACATGCGCACACCTGACGTTTAAAATATGCGATATGTTTCTCTTAATTACTATTGAGTCTTTGGATACAATTTCAAAAAAATATCTCTAATAATGAGAAAGTTGACATTGCGCGATTTGCGCATGCGCAAAACTGATTTTACAATATGCAATACATGGTCGGTATACTAAACGGTTGTATCACTCGCTGCAGTTTGGAGGCGCGGAGCAAGAGGGGAACTTACCGCTTGTGACATAGTCTAGCCTGTGGTAGAGTTTTTGACGTTTCTGGCCGTCTGGCGTTTGTATCATGGCCAACGTGCGCAGATGTATTGTATGCGTCTCTCACCACATTTGCCGCGTTTTTATCACCCGCACGTTAAGAAAAATACACGTTTTGAAGCACCAGGAATCTGATTCAAACAAAATCTCAATGATGTCGGTCTGTGATCGGTTCTTCTGTACTCTCATTTCCGGGTAAACGGCTGAACCGATTGGAACCAAATTTGGTGCACATATTCATGGGCATAAAAGAGGAAAATCCTCTTCTTTGTCCTCGGTAGAAGCATTTCTTAATTTGAATGACTAGTTTCAGGCAAGGTTGTGCGCAGTTAATGTTAATTAGTTGGTGAAAAAGGTTTGCGTCAGGCGATGGGCGTATATCTAAAAAAAGTAAAGTAGTCTGATATTATAGTTGTTCTGAGAGAACCGTCGGGGAAATCGAAGTTGGTCAAACACGTAAATTAGCGCAGATGTATTTTATTTTTTCCAAGAGGATGCGCTTTGAACCGCCAGCGAAGTTGACCCAACCTCCTGTAAATTAGCGCAGGGTGAGATTTGTTTTGAAAAAACAATTCGTACATTACAGTGATATACAGGGTGTTGGTAAATTCGATGTAGATATTTTGAGGTGTGATTGAGGGTGCAAATACAAGCATTTTGACATAAGGAACCCGTGTCTGGAAACGCAAGCATTCGGCGCCTATTGCGCCTGAGATTTAACGCCCCTGAATTTTTTCGTGTGGGGTCACATGAAAAATAGTGTTCGAAACAATCTGCCCGCACCCTCCGGACCATTCCAGTAGTTTTCGAAAAAGTGAGACAGTCCATCGCTCGTCGCTGTACGGCGTGTATTCATGTGGGGGGAAGAAATTTTGAGCAATTCTTGTAACGCCTGCTATTAAATGCTTCTTTTGTTTCGTTTCTTTGAAAAAATGTCATTGCTGATCATTTTGAATTTTACTTCGCACCCTCAATCACACCTCAAAATATATACATCGAATTTACTAACACCCTGTAGGGTTAATTTAACTACCTGTTAATTAGCGCAGGGTAGTTTTATATATTGGTCTGACGGTCTAACACCCTATAATAATCGAGAACGTATACTATTTGCGGAAAAATTTCGTGCGCTTACGTTTGCGAGGTTACGTGTATAACAAATACGTAAAGCTTCACCAGGGAAATTCAAGTTTTGATGACCCTCAAATTCAAGCGCTAATTTACAACTTAGAAACTATTACGATAAATACGAACAATAGCGGTACTTTTAGACACACAAAATTAAAACTGGGGGAGAGAATACAGGTGGTTGTAATGTGAAAAGTAGGTAGATAAAAAATCTTATTGACCGTGACGAAATGTGAATTTATTTATAACAACTATTAGTCTAAAAAAACAGGTAATATTTCAAAACCAACAGCTTGTTATTTTAAAAATTTGTCTCTTTTACGTGTAATCTGAATAATTTTCTGGCCCTTCGCTAAAAAAGTCACTACTTTTAAAGCCATCTTTATCAACACAATACCATTTTTCATTGGCAAGGTACTGCTCCGGTCTGTAATTACCATTTGGCATACATACCAAGTACTGAGTAGAACCGATGCTTTCATACATTTTTGAATCACGAGCACGATCTACAAATAAAATAAAACTCGAAGCAATTGCGCAAGTTGGATAACAGTTGCCACCATAGATTGGTCCAGCGCCTCGTATAGAAATGGAGCAAGACGCAACCTATGGTGGCAATAATTACGTATAGGTAACGCTCATACAACAATTCACGTTTTGGATATTTGAATGAATCGCTGCTTTGTAGCTGCCAAGCCAATATTTGTATTATCTTTCCATTTACAGTACCTAAACCCTAAAAGAGCCAGGAAATAAAGAAGGCATGTTGAAAAACATCTTACTCTGCGCCAATTCTTTGGTAATTACCGTAATTACCGTCATCATCGCACATTACGTGCGGAAAGTTCAAGTACTTCGTTCCGTGCAAATTAAATTCGTGTAAAAGATTTTCTTGCGCCCATTCCTTACTTTCGCATTGTCTTGTGTAACTGTGACCAACATCGGCCTTGGAATCATCGGAGTAGAATGGATAACTCCCTACTCACAACAAGGTAAAAGATTCATCACTGAAGAAGGAACGACTTTCGAAGTAATTTTACCAATTTTATTTTGAACACACCAACAATGGCCATCATCGCATTGGAGGGGCTCGTATAGTTGCCCATATGGAGTCGCAATGTAATGTTGTGTACCTATAGACGCGATGCTTGTTTTCGTATCTCCACCTTTCTTCGACTACATGCTACAAATAATCGATTATTCTTTTCGTACTGGAAATGTCTATAGTTGGATACCACAAGTCATATTTTCAGATTTATCCATAAAAGCCTGTCCAAATATTCTATTTCCTACTGCATCATAGCAAAAACATCTGTAAGTACCTAGGTAATAAGTAAATAAAATTAACATTATAATTGTACGTAAAAAAATGTTGGCGCGGCTTACCGTCCGCTAGTAGCCTCCCGTTTACATTGTTTGGGAGCCCAAGTCCCATCGTCTAAACATAAAGGTTTCCATGCGTCTTTCCATGGATTAGTTGGGTGATTTATTCGCGTAATGCACGAGTCTTAAAAATAAATGAATGGAAAAATTGATGCAATAGCGAATATACTTTACTCGGATCTGGGATGCACACGCTTTTGTCGTTATTATTGGGACACTTAAAACCTGGCGGGCATGCATTCGTTTCTGAACAAGGTTCTTGGGGATCTACATAAAAAAATCACTTATTTCATGGGGAACACATTGTGGAAAACATCCGAAAACTGCATGCCCTTACTTGCGAAACACGTAACCCCGGCCGCAACCTTCTTGGGACAAATCGTGTACTACCTCAAATTGTTTATCGCATGGTTCAACTATCCTGGGATTCAATGCACTTGCAAAGTAACAATGTAAACTAAAGTTTCTATTTAATCAACATAATTTTCCAAAATTTTAAATAATTTATGTTTTATTGGGTGACAGGTGAATATACCTACACCTACAACTATATCTGATAAGATTTGTGTTATCTCTTAGTCACAATCTATTTCATGATAATGATATGAAAGAGGTACCTATGTATTTAAGTATTTTCAGGATTTATATCATTAAAGTTATAGGACTCAGTTGTTACATAGATGGAGCCGAGATTGAATAAAGACAGTGAGCAAACTACGCTTCATTAGCTTCTAGCACTAGCTTCGGTAGTCACCGGGATTTCTTCTTATAATACAGAAAGGACATTCAATTATTCCCGTTCAAATCTGAACTATTCTAATTTGCAAAATTAATTACAAAATGTTGCGACTAAGCGGGACCCCAGCCCCTCTCTAGAGCCAGCTCAACTCTACTCATATATAACATAAATAACCGAATTCTGGCTTTAAACATTAACATGGCAACTCGATAGAAAGACTCGCATGACACATGACAATAAAACGAAAGGGAAAATTTGAATATCGTGGAACAAATATTTAGATACTATATAGTCCTCAAAAAAGTTAAACCAAAGAGTATTATGGTTACTCTTTGGTTAAACCAAAGATGCGCACCTTTTTTGAAAAATATAACAACCGCCAATGTTTAAATCTGACGGGTTCTATCTTAATGTATTTACAAAAGTAAGTTGATGCTCACATTTTTTAGAGCTGGCAACAGCGCGACTTTTTTACAAGAACGGGGAAACGGTCTGCGTCGTCTCGGAAAGCACGATCGTTGGTTACAATTGCCATTTTGATTTAGGCGGTCAATGAGAAAGCATCCTGATACAGTTTGTTTCTTGATATTTCGTGTTAATTTAACGCAGGCAGTACCTATACTTTACATTTCTTTATAATTTATTTGTGTTTTGCATGCAACAGTTCATAGAATTTTCTCTTTGTTTTCGAAATTGACATGATTTAACCTCATTCCATCAGGTGTATAGGAAATGCCGTTAACTTTTATTGTTTTCAAATCGTTTTCATTTTTGATGTAAATGGTACTCAGTTTATGTTATGTTTTAATTATACATGGTTTTGACCAGAAATAATATTCATGTAAGTTTTGATCAATCTTTTAAATATGTAGAAGGGCACTGGCTAAAGGAAATCTGAACAGTAGATATATTTCAAAATGTTGTTTTACATCCTATCGCTACGGCAATGGATCTATACTATAATATGACAACCTATGAAATGAATGAAATTATGTATCATCATGAAAGAAAACCATTTTAAGGAAAACCTACAACTATGTTGACCACCTATGAAATGTAATTTGCCTTTCTTCTGTAGCTTTTGACTTCATTAGGTATATTACACGATTTATGATAAATTCAACCGCTGTAACCTGGTTGGTAGATTTTGCTATGGTTACAATTATTGGGATAATTGTTTGGTGATTTCTACCACCCGGTTAAAGACTGAAGGTTGATTCTCACTTAACATATAACGTTTCCATACCATATCCTTTCCATAACCATTCCGTAAATTATTATACCTACGAAATTGACCTTTAAGTGATATGTGCGTAAGACATTTAGCCGCGCGCTAATACACATTCTCCTTTCCGTTCACATATGGAAGGCGAATGTGTATTAGCGCGCGACTGAATGTCTTACGCACATATCACTTAAAGGTCAATTTCGTAGATATAATAATTTAAGGAATGGTTATGGAAAGGATATGGTATGGAAACGTTATGTATAGTGAGAATCAGCCTTAAAACTGTTGAATGATCGTAAATCCCCATTTGGCGTTTACGATAATGGAACGGTGCAAATATCCCGGTTCCTAATTGTCAAGAGAACAATCCCTGACTCATGCGCCTCCCGTGACGACTTTTGGTACTACGCGACAGTTGACGTGTAACGAAACAAAGGTTCGAGTTTCCAGACCTGTGTATACGACCGTGAGTGAGTAACTTATGAAAGAGGGAATATTACGTAAATTTCTAGAAATCTGTATGTAAAAAATTATAAATATTAATTGATCTACGGTTCATTACAAATTCCTGTACTAATGAAGGTAAAAATTGATTATTACTCATTTTTCTTAATAGTAGAGAGATCTACGTTTTAGAATTTAAGCTTATGAAAATCATCAAGGATACTAGATTAAATTATATAGTATCCTTGGAAAATCATCACAATTCTAGCCATATATAACCCATATATATAAGATAACCCCGTTACCATTGTTACACTCTGTCTGATGGTTAGACGAGTAGGTCAAGTTGTAATGAGTAGCGCTGATGTTCCAATAAGTTGCTCTAACATTATTCTTGTTATGCGCAAGCGCAAGTTCGGAACAAATCGCCATTACTTTAACTTGAACAGCTGAATAAATTTGAAACAAGTGTGTTCGTGTGGGTATAATTTTCCAAAATGCTAGGAAGAAGTTCGGTTTTACTTAGGAACGCTGTTAAAGGACTAGTTAGAAATCATCACGGCGGCGTTCCGGGAGAGGTATGTAAATTATGTAATCATTACCATGGAATCTAAACACTTATTACAGAATTTACCTTTCGAAGTGGGCAATAAGTATAAACTTACTGCTATCTTCATAGTCTTCTTCGGATCAGGTTTAGGCCTTCCATTCCTTGCATTACGGCATCAGTTGTTGAAGCAGCAGTAGGCGTACAATACGCCTGTGTTATTTTAGTGAGCGGTTAGTTTACAATTATAAGTACATCTGTACCTTTTTGTTAATAGAAAATAAAATCATGTAATGACCTATGTTTGGATCGTCAGAGAATTAAACAGAAAATGCACTTATTTAGCAAAAAGGAATAAACATAACTGAAGTTTGTAGTTGGTACCATTATGCGTACATCCTATCTATACAGGCTGTTCGTAAAAGCAGAATTGTTGCTTCAATGGGGAATCATTGAACTGTCTTAAATTATGATAACTACTTTCGATTTTTTCTGACAAGAGCACTTGATTGGGAGAAAAATTGCATTTCTCATTATAATATGAAACTGATAAAATACACAGAACATCTACCATTTAAAGAATTAACAATTACCTGCAACCTGATGTCACTAATACCATTGAATAATAAATCTGAATATTATTCAATGCTAATACTGTAAATAAAGTTGTAACCACACAATTTGGTTTGAAAAATAAATATATTACACCCCGTGATGATAGCTAATTCTGCTAATAAACCACTCTGTGTTCTTAAATTTGTGTAGCCGATTCACCAAAGCAATGTATTGAATGATAATTATTAGCGGTGTGCATAATGCGTTGTAGGTAATGTCTCATTATCACCATAAGCTTAGATGATAAGGTAAATAATATCTGACCACAGTGAGATTCTTGTGATACTCCTGATGAAACCACTATCAAAGTTGATAAACAGTCTTTAGCGCGTGCCCTATTGCAGCCACTTTCTCTTCGTACCCGCAGTACACAAAAAAATAGTGCATTTAATGATGCAAGCATATCGCTTTGCATAATTGTTGTATGGACCTTAAATAATGATTTGACCCGTAATTCCTGAAATTTCATCCCTTAGGATTGGAATTTCAGGGCGGGGGTTCAAGTTTCATGTGAAAAATGTTGAAAAAAGTAAATTTAGCCACCAAGGCCTGTTTGTAGTCACCGCCGCAAGATTCTAACCTGTTGAACGCAACGCAATGCAATGGTCAGAATTTCCGAACAACCACCGGAAGTCATGATAGACCTCCATTTTTAAAAATGGCCGCCAAAAAGTGAAACTTAATGCTGAGCCCAAATGTTGGAGTGTTGGGTATCATTTCAAATGTTTTTGAGGTCTCTGAATACGTCTGTTGCCACAAAAATACGAATAAACACACCATATGGCCTTTCGGCCGCGATATAGAGGAATATCGAATAGGCAATGGATGGCAAGTTTTATGAAAATAGGATGTGGCTAGGCAAGTTTCAAGTTTTCGAATTAATGATAACATATTAAGGTATGTATTGATTTTAATGTAAATTAATTTCTATTTGTGGACATGTGCATGTCGGTGCTAATCATATCGACATACGCCGCATTTATCCAAAGCTCTGCAAGAACTCCAGATCTCGGGGTGAAGTGTCCAGAGCGGTTTCCAGTGGTCCTTCTCCATAGTCCAGCCCCACATTGCTGGTGTTGGGGGACTACAGCCTGCCCCAGATGTGGCCTGCCTGGTACGCAGACCGTTCGACGTGTTGCACCAGGGCACCACGAGTTGAAGGGATAGCGCCTACATGCTTATGCTGTGTAGCAAAAAGGTGTTTCAGCGCCTGATCAACACTAGTACATGAGCCATCCCGCACACCGTACAAAGATACAGTAAACCTTTCCAAAGCTTGCATGATCTCAGCGTCAGATTCTTGATCTAGTGGCCAAGCAAGCCTGCCGAATACACCTATAGTCCTTTCGTCCTGCCACGCAGCCCACGCTTAACGCTTCCCTTTGGATCCAAAGAAAGACACCGTGTCGCAGCCGGTGTAGGCATGGAAACCTCTCCATGCGACTGATTTCGCCTCTCCGAGACATTGAGCAATGCCATGCAGACTGATGTAGCGACGATGGAGTCCAGATCCAAAGAGAACATATAGTTCTTTGAACCCCTTCTCTTTCAGTTCGAAGAAGAACGAAATCGCCAGGATCAGAACATCGGTGTCAGTATGCTCCGGATCACAACACTTCCCTGCGCCGTGGACCACCATATCCTTGGTGTGCAGGATGATGCGGCCATCAGCTTCCTCCTTATGTCTGCACGGAACACCATGTAGGCTAGTGGAACCATGTAGACGAATAGCGTTTCGTCCAAGCAGATCTAGAGTTCTTACAGAGTTTTGGATAAATGCGGCTGCCCAACGGGCTGCAAGACGCAGCGATTCTGTTGCCGCCGGTTCCAACTGCCGTGTATCTTGACGTGCAGAAAGTGCAAAGGACAATTATATGCTCTAACCAGACAGAATAAATTGACCCCGACCAAGATATTGAGGATATGTCGATATGATTAGCACCGACATGCGCATTAAAATAGAAGTTAATTTACATTAAAATCAATACATACCTTAATATGATATCATTAATTCGAAAACTTGAAACTTGCCTAATGCCTAGCCACATCCTATTTTCATAAAACATCCATTGCCTATTCGATATTCTCTATATCGCGGCCGAAAGGCCATATGGTGTGTTTATTCGTATTTTTGTGGCAACCGACGTATTCAGAGACCTCAAAAACATTTGAAATGATACCCAACCCTCCAACATTTGGGCTCAGCATTAAGTTTCACTTTTTGGCGGCCATTTTTAAAAATGGAGGTCTATCATGACTTCCGGTGGTTGTTCGGAAATTCTGACCATTGCATTGCGTTGCGTTCAACAGGTTAGAATCTTGCGGCGGTGACTACAAACAGGCCTTGGTGGCTAAATTTACATTTTTCAACATTTTTCACATGAAACTTGAACCCCCGCCTGAAATTCCAATCCTAAGGGATGACATTTCAGGAACTACGGGTCAAATCATTTTTTAAGGTCCATACTACAATTATGCAAAGTGGTATGCTTGCATCATTAAATGCACCATTCCTATGAAAATCGTCGTGTACCGCCAGCACTATCTGGCTGTCCGTCCGAGGGCTTAACTACTTAGTACAGCTTTTAAAGTATTTATTTCGTTCTTTTTGAATTCAGTAGCTTATAACCCTGGCACCTGAGCCATTGTTTATTAAACAATGCCTGAGCCAAGAAGAATCTTGACGATTAATGTGCTCATGCGCAGTCTGTGGAATATGAACTTTCTTATTTATTCAGACATTTTGTTGAAATTTGAACCGCAACTCTAGTAACGGTAGATGTGCGCATGCGCAGACTGCGCAAGGGATATATGTTTATTCAAAAAATGCTTTTAGTAAAAGCAAAGGTAATAGGTATTGCATATGGTAAACATCAGATTAATGTGTGCATGCGCAATATCACAGATGCTTCTCTCTCATATTGTAAGCAATGTGCGCGTGCGCATTCTTCGCAGTGCGAACTTCCTCATTTATGAAGATATTTCCTTAAACTTTTAACCATTGACGCTTCTAGTAACAACAAACATATCGCATATAGCATAAATGTGCGCATGCGCGAACTGCGCAACGTCAACTTTCGTATTTATAAAGATATTTATTTGAAATTTTAACCACATATGCCTCTAGTTCCAGAAAAACGTAGCGCATACAGCTGTGGCCTTTTGGGAAGTACTGATCAATGCAAGGGAAATGCGCCGGAGTTACTCGCCTTATGGCGAAAACCTTTCGGTGGCGTAAGAAAGCAAATAACCAATCCATCAATACTATCTGACAGATAACGTATGTAAATATACAATATGGGTCTATGAAAACTAACCGTCAGATAAATTTAAAGGTAACATGAAGCACAGACGCCCTAAATGTGGAAAACTAATCAGTGTTATAGGTAATCAAGAGGACATCGTGCTGTATACACCTATTGTAGGAAATGTTTGATTAAATAAGAAACATTTACGAAACGTATATGGCCATGGATTGCGTTGCATAGCGTACGTACGTGTGTCCTTGTGCAAAAAAATACCACACGATGGGGGCTGCAGTATAGGAGTAATAAGCACTCGGACAATTAGAAAACAATGGGAAATTGCACTTAACCAAGACGTAACGCACTAAACTGGATCTTCTTAAATTCTTGGTTGCAGAAACGTTGATTGTATTCAAAAATCTGAATGTACTGGCTGAACGCAAACACACGACCGGGGAATTGAATAGCTGTCCGTTTTGCCACCAAACTTTAACGTAAATAACAAAGGACAGCAACTCCGCCTCGAAATTGACAAAATGCCTTTATAGCGAATCGCAACTCAGTCTCGAAATTTGCAAAAGGCCACTTTTCAACTTTCCCTTCTTAAACAAATCGAAATTGTTCATCCAATTACCGGGACACGGTCAACTCGCCACCGACTGACTCGCCAACGGGACAACTCGCCAACGCGACAACTCGCCAACGGGACAACTCGCCAACGCGACAACTCGCCAACGGGACAACTCGCCACCGCAACAACTCGCCAACGGACGACTCGCCACTGCGACAACTCGCCAACGAAATATTTTTTCCAGTTTAATGCGTCATACAAATGCAATAGTCAATTTCCCTAATTTCAAAACAAAGTTTATCGAAAAATTGTAGTCAATATTTGAATGAACACCCAACCGCCATTACCTGTTTCTATTACTGCATTTTGATATAACGACAACTTCTGTAAATTATTATTTGAACAGAAAATTTGACAATCACATCGTTATTTGAACGACACATTAAACAGGGAAAAATATTTCGTTGGCGAGTTGTCGCATTGGTGAGTTGTCGCGGTGGTGAGTTGCCTCGTTGGCGAGTTGTCCCATTGGCGAGTAGTCGCGTTGGCGAGTTGTCTCGTTGGCGAGTCAGTCGGTGGCGAGTTGACGCATACCGTCAATTACCTCAGTGTGGTAACGTGAAGACCAATTAACGCTTCGCTACGGAACGCTATCTTCAGTCACGTAGACAGATTTTACGCGAAATTATCTTATCTAAGATACACAATTTTCTACGAAAACAAACAGTTTTTTCCGATTAAAAATGCATCCTTATCTCTAGAATATTACATCATCTTTTATAAAAATAAACGAAGTACGCAATAAATCTAATATATGTGAACTGTCACCTACGCAAACTCGTTTTGTGTATAACCCTAAGGAAACCTGTCTTATTGTACCATGAGGGAACCGACCAGATTAATTAAAATGAATTGAAATGAACATCGGATTAGTAATAAAACTACCCGTATTCACTTCTGGACTGGATCTAAACCTCAACGTCCAACCCGACAATGTTTACATAGCATATATTAGGCCTATACATGAGAATCCTGGTTCTTAAACGTCGCTCTACGACACGAACGCTACATACACCTGTGGAAATCGGTGCCTGAATAAGCATCATTTAAATTAATCAAATTGTTACATTAATCTTAGATCATGTCATCAGAAATCCGATGAACCAGTACAACATATGGATAGTTGCAGATAGTTGAACGCGCTATAGTTGGGGTAACGTAGCCACTTATGCCACCGCGTTCATAGACATAACCGCGCCGCGTTTCTGTTTCCGTCACAGACCGACTCGCAGTCTATTTCCGTTCTGCCACGCCATGCGATTTGTGTTTTTCATTTGGATTCGTTCAATAAATAAAGGTGTTTTATTTATGATACGTTCAGTTGCACACGTGAAGTGAAAACGACTATGATTATAACAACAAATGTGCATAGCCGGTGTTGTAAGGTATATTGTAAATTGTACCTACTATTGTCTTCAAACTAACTTCATTTAACAATGCTTTATGATCGTTGCAGTTGCAAGGAGAGATTGTTTACACATACTTTTATTACAATCTTCTTACAAGTATCGTTTTGATTTCTTTGTCAAATCGATGTGGTTGGAAGTAGATCAGTGAGTTATGATACAATAGACGCAGATAAATTTCTGATGTTTAAAGAAACGTAACTTACAATTTTTAATTAAGTATTTTGCTGTAGTGTAACATTTCATTTTCTTTGCAGATGATTTATGTGTGTTTAAGATTTAATTGGTTGGACAAGTTATCATAATTTAACCATTCGTATTCGGCACCCACATGACGTACGAGAAGTATGTCATTAAGGGACCAGTAATTTATTACAGCAAACTTTGCTACTATTAAATGCGACCTGGATAATCGCCTCTTGTCAGAACTTGTGGCAATGGATTACGGATAAGTGAGGAACAGCCGACAAAAATTGCGCTGCTCAGAGTCACCTATTATTACTCCATGAAATCGACTGAGTTGACCAAGAAAAACGCCACAGGCTCTGGGATCCTAACCCGGCCCCATTACTGTCATATCTTCACTCTCCACCTCTTGTGGTATTTATAGAGGTAAATATTTTTATAATTTGCTTCTTTTTAATTCATGTGATTGTTTATAGCAAGTTCCAAAATAAAGATACAAAATGATGAAGTAGAAGCCTGCTGTATATAGCCAGCCCACAATTTTTATATTATGTTGTATAGTAGTCCTGTGTGATCTGTTGATTTACCTAACTTGTAGCTTCTTAGTGGACACGTAATTTGAAATAAATTTTGTTTAATACTTGAGTTGTTGTCTTATATTTGAAAAATAAACCTGTGTTGTGATATGACAATTATCCATTTCGTGAATGAGACCAGTAATAACTATTTACAATCGACCAGAAACTAGTAGGGAATACTGTTTACAAACTGATTGTTTTTCATCCCAACCTTGTGCCCTCTCGTGGTAGGAACTTTGAAAAAAATTTGGAAAGGTAATACCCGAAAACTTATCCAAGACGTGCTACCAGTCTTTCCAACTTGCTGAGAAAAAAATTAAAGAAGAAATGAAAATGTCACCACTTTTTTGGGGGTGGTTCCCAAACGAATCATGGACACTCGGTTTATTTACAAAAAGGCAGTGCGATCTTGGAAATATCTCGTCATAGCCATGAATTGTCGTTTTGGAGTACATAACGCAGAATCCTAAATAAGTTCATGGCAAATTTTCAAATTTTAAACTTGTTAGCTCTTGTTAAAAAATATGTCAAGTTTTATATATACAAGTTTACCAATTTACATTTGTAGCTAGGACGCCTTGTGCATAATTAATAAAAGGTCGTAATCGTATATAAATCTAAAAGGTCAATTTCTTCTACCCCTGTGATAAAAGATCTAGATGCGCCACTGGTAGGTGCTTTTATTAATTAATAGTAGTTATAATTTCGCAGTGTAGATCATATGTACCGATATATACACGTTTTTTTAAGGTTAACTATATTTTGCACATTACTACAAAATTTTGTAAGATGGTGAAGAAAACCGCCACTTCTGAAGATATGAATAGCAATAAAAGGTAGCTTGGCATGCCAAAGTCAATACTTAACCAAGTGATTTTTAGGAAACCTTCAAAAATCGTTACCACCGATATTCCAAGAGGTAAACCCAAATCAGGTCGTATATGGAAAACTACAAAGACACGTTTTTCTTCAATCATAAAAACAAAGGGCATTCGTAATTCGTTTCAACAAAAGCAATTACTTCGTGAAGATCTAAAACGTACAAAAGAAGCGTCAAGATCTATTAAAGCACAAAAAGAGGAAGAGAAGGAACAGAAAAAACAAAGAAGACGAGAGAACTTAAAGAAACGGGAAGAGAACAGTAGAAAAGCAGAAATTGTACAAGTCATTAAAAATCCTAACAAAATTAAGCGTATGAAGAAAAAACAATTACGTAGCATACAGAAACGTGATATTAGCGAACTGAATAAATAATCTCTATGTTTGATTAAATTTTATTTCACATTTTATCACATCCTGAAAATTCCAAATTTCGTTGGTACTTCATTGCTGTTTAGTGTAGCTGCCAAACTCAATCCTAAAACTCTCCGTGTGTCTTTCGGGTCGATAATACCATCGTCCCATAATCTGTAAAATTCATCTATTAGATACTAATTCTGACAATACATTACAATCTTTTTTATACCACCTTTGTACTCGTGTACATTACCTTGCACTACTGTAGTAAGGTGAAGACTCGTATTCAAATTGATCTATAATTGGCTTTTCAAATTCATCAATCTTGTCTTGTGCCCACTGTTGACGACGCGAAGCCATTGCAACTTGAGATAATACCCCTGCCGCCTGTGGTCCGCCCATTACTGCAATTTTTGCATTTGGCCACATGTATAAGAACCTTGGAGAGTATGCTCGGCCACACATACCTACAATTACGCTCTAAGTAATTACCTTTCATGTCTGGAAGGTGTATAATTCCAAATAAAATAACCTTGTATAATTCCCACATTTCCCCTGATTTTAAGCTTAGAAATAAAGTTGTCACATATAAAATACCTTTATATACAGTGTGTTCTTTTTTGAAGTTACCATATTTTTTGGATTTTCACGATAAATAAAAGCTTAAATTGGAAAAGGAAGAATTGAGTTATATTGAAATTGTTAAATGTGCAGTTCCGATGATTTAACTCGATTCTAAACTCTTTGCATTAGAATTCCTGTTTTTATCTCAAATCTTGGCAGCTTTCCAAGGTTTAGGTAATTTCGGTATATCGCCACCTTGTTAAGATTCTTGCAGCTTGCAATGTTTTCGCACCATTACAAACAAATGCAAATACTGGTTAATGATCTGAAACAACCTTTGACAAATATTTTCTCATGGCCAGATTCATTCTTTCCATCATTAACCATCAGATTGTGAATAGAGGGCTATTAACTATTCCTCTTATTTGGCTGTTTGTGTTGTTTTCTGTTACAGAAAAGGCCGAACGCGCCCTTTCGAGCTCTCAAGGTTGCGACCCGAAGTTCAAAGGTCAATTTTTATTTTTCGTCAACTCCTTGATATAACGTTTGATTACATACCAGTTTTTGATACAATGGAATTGTGATACGGTATAAACATTTGCTTGTTATTCACTTAACGATTATAGCTGTTTTCTGCGGACGCCTGTTTTGAAATTAATACTTTCTCTGACTGTGTGTTGATCCTCTTTTACTAAAAATCAATTTAAATTCAAACATTGACACAACAGATCTATAGATTACAGCGACCTATTTGTAATATTTTAGAGATCATTGATTAAATTACCTTCGTTTGTGGCGTCAATTACTGTTTATATTCTGTCTGTTAAATATAATAATCACGTCCAAACTGCATATTTTAAAAAATCCTACATCACAGTTTGAATGCGTGGTGCATGGTATTTTGAACTCAAAAGATTCATTGCATCTTTTAGAACACACTGCATTATCACAAATTTTTCCCACACCTTTCACATAGAATATTTTCATTATTAATCATGGATAAGTGCATTAGAAGGCGCCATTTTAATTAAAATTACCATAGTTTCCAGCACCGTAAGAAGCTCCAATTAAGAGTGTGATCTTGGGAACACTTGCACATGCGACTGCAGTTACCAGTTTAGCTCCATTTTTAGCAATTCCGCCCGCTTCAGCTTGCCTTCCAACCATGAAACCTACACTTTCAAGTTTATAATTTATTTGTTACAAGCCAACACGACTTACCTGTTATGTTTTGAAGGAATATCAATGGTATGTTACGTTGTGTGCATAACTGAACAAAGTGACATCCTTTCAATGCACTTTCAGAAAACAAAACTCCATTATTTCCTATAACACCTACGGTTTTCCCGTATAGTGAGGCAAATCCACAAACTAATGTTTCCCCGTACTTTTTCTTGAACTCGTCAAATTCCGATCCGTCAAATACCCGTGCGATAACCTCTCGAATATCGTACGGTTTACGAATATCAGAGTCGATTATCCCATACAATTCCTCTGGATCATATTTTGGCGGTTCAAAATGTGATTCGAACTGAACAGGTTGTTTATTAAGATTTTTTATTACTTGTCGCGCCAGGAAGATTCCATGCTCGTCGTTGATTGCATAATGATCTGTCACACCGGATGTGGAACAGTGCAAATCCGCACCTCCTAATTCTTCAGCAGTCACCTGAAACATGGTAGTTGTAAATCAAATTTCTGGCACATTTTGGGTCTCTTTTTGAGTAGACACCTAACAATATCAGTCGTGAGACGAACGAAGGACATTGAGGGTGGTAGCAGCCTAATCTGCCATGTGAAATTTCAAATGACCAGTCCTGTTGGCGTATATACAGACACCGTTCAAACGACAAGTACCGTTAGTTTATCGTCAGGAGCTTCTTTTCAAAATGCAACAAGGTAAATATCTTAACAATTGTTATTTATTCGATATATGTGATGCAATTGTACCAACAACAAAAAAGTTTCTCGCATGGTGAATTTTGCTCTGCGCGGATAATTATTGCGCGATTTTGTAGGCCCTGTTAAATCTACACTAATACCAGATAAGGCATTATATACGCATAATTGGAGGCGCATATCATTCCATAGTTTAAGGCACCGAAACAATTATCGTTCTTGAAACAGAAATATGACAGTGGAAGTATAGAAAAACACGGATTTACTATCGTCGTTTTATATTCAAAGACTTTAAACCTTAAAATTAATTATTCCCAGTGTTATATTAAAAATTAACAAACACTACAATTCAATTCCATGTACAATTGGCAAGCTCTCATTGAAATTTCGTGGCTCTATGTTAAACGAATCCGGAGTAAAAAATAAATAGTGGAGCCGCGTGCGGATTTTCCATAAGCCGTAATGTATTTAATGTGTCCCGAACTGACTCTTAAGGTCACGTGACTTTTTCAAGCACTCCGGCCTATAAGTATTGTAGGCCTCGGGGTGTTGCGTATTAAAATATGGCATTTTACACAATCTATGTCAATCACTTTGATTATTATGATTGATAATAAGGGTCGACTTGCAATTTTGAAAGATGGACTTGTTGCATTTTGAAAAGAAGCTTCTCAGAGACACCGTTCGAAAGTATTTGCACGTGAAACAATGGGATTTACTGTTTAACAATATAATAATTTTCAATGTCGGCATTTTAAAACAATGTTAAGTTTGTAGAGGAAGGAAATGGTGCGTTGAATTAGCTTTGTCAAGTGGGCTTTTTTAGCGGTTTTGTGTTTGAGGTCACTTTGCTTTCTGCATCCATTGAGTTCCATTTGTTCTAATTTGTGCCATTGTCCATTTGCAAAAAGGTAATGTACTTAATTGTAATTGAATTACTTAAATTATGTCGCCTTCAGCTGTTTGTAATTAAGGGTAAAGTGATTCTTGAATTTGGTGTTATTTGCTTACAATTTTCATTTGTTCGAGATTGGCTAGTTATTAATTTCCATTTGTTTGTTTAAACTCATTTGGATTGATTAGCGACTTCAATTCTTTGTGTATGAATCTGCCTTTTTTGAGTGTAATTAACCTTTTCGCCCTTACACAAGTAGATGCCAAAGTGATAACAATACTTAACCGCATTCATCTCGACATACAACTTTAGTCTAAGGTTACCGTGTCCAGGACCTTCAGCCTTCTGGACTGGAGGAGGTCCGGCTAATTAACGATGCATTTTGTGTACTTCTTGTAAGAGACTTCGGAAAGCTTTTTATGTTATAAACTTCTCTTTCAATTTATCAAGGTTCCATTTGTGCTTCTAGACCAGATACCCTTGGCCCTAGAGCTAGACCGAACGATCCAGCATCTCATACGTAATTACCTGTTCACCTGTAGCTGCTTTCACCAATGGTGGCCCAGCCAAGAATATTGTACCTTGCTGTTTTACAATGATAGATTCATCTGCCATTGCCGGTACGTAAGCGCCTCCTGCTGTGCACGATCCTAATACCACAGCCACCTAAAATCAATTCTTCCAGTATGGTTATAGTGTTATAAATTGAAATACCTGTGCTATACTTTGAGAAGACATGTTTGCTTGATTATAAAATATTCTGCCAAAATGATTTTTATCGGGAAACACTTCAGCTTGATTTGGTAGATTGGCACCGCCGCTATCCACTAAGTAAATACATGGTAATCTATTCTCTTGGGCAATTTCTTGTGCACGTAAATGCTTTTTCACAGTTACTGGATAGTAAGTGCCGCCTTTTACGGTAGCATCATTCGCGACAATCATACAATCAATACTACAATTAGAGATTAACATCATTAAATGTTACTTTGTAGACACGTACTTACCCGTAAACTTTTCCAATCCCTGTAACAATTCCGCCGGCATTTATTACATCATCTCCATACATTTCGAAGCCAGCAAAAGGCGACAGCTCTAAAAATGCGGAATTTTTATCCAAAAGTAGATTAATTCTATCCCTAACTAAAAGTTTTCCCTTAGATGTGTGCTTTTTGACCGCGTTTACTCCGCCACCTTGTAAAATAGATTTGGTTCTGTCTTGTAAAGTTTTAACCAAATTGGACATGTGTTCGTAATTTTTCTACATAAAATGTTGGTTCCGTAAGTCTCATATCTACAATTCGTTACCTTGTAGTTTGGTGATTCGACATTGTATTGAGATTTAATAGTGTTAGCGGCATAGCAACGTATAGAATGCTGATGATGCTTCTGCTTAATTAAAATGTTGCGAATTATTTTCAGCATTTTTTGATGATCCTTTCAGGCGCTGAAGTTTAAAGGAATGTGGTCGAAGCAAGGACCTTTATCTTGTGCGTAAAATGGACTTTGAACATACATAGAGATAACATAAAAGCACTTTTATTTGCCATTCGTTACGTAAAAATACACAAGCAGGAGTATAGAATTAAAACAATCATGTAAAATATTAAAATAAAGTTGGTTTGGAATAAATTAAAAGATGAAATTTGAGGTTAAATAAGATCATTCGTAGTTCGTAGGTATTAATATACACCCACTGATAAAATTAATGACTCTCGAGGACTCGATGTAAGGTATGTCCCAAATTCAGACGTGTTAAGCAATTGTTCATCCTTATTATTTATACGTAATACGTATTACCGAGTTTTTCAAATCAAAGATTATCTTTGAAAATCTTTCAGTAAGATACATTTGCTTACTAAAATTTTATTTGGTAACAGTCGCCAGATATACCGGGGCAACGCATTTCTTGAGATTTCATATTAGGAACAAGGGCACAGGGCAGGGGACGAGTATGGAAGAGGACAGGGGAAGGAGGATTGAGGACAGGGAGCAGAGGACATAAGATAGAGAACGGACAGAGGATGGAGGAAGAGAGCAGAAGAGATAGGACTTGGTAATTACTCGTTATCCTCCTACCAGGATCTTCCGCTCCTAAACTTACCATCCCGGTTCCATTTGTCATTTGTTCATCTCTTTATCCTGAAATCCTAAGGTGTGAGCGTGCCGAGGAGATGCATGGTTTTGCGTGAGTGAGCCATTAACACCCGTTACTTCACCTAAAGAGGCATTTATGGTTCAGTGGTAGAGCGTTGGACTATCAATCCGGAGGTTGGGTGTTCGAACCTGGGTTGAGGTGAATTTTTCATCTGTGGCAGAGATGATTACCTCAGACCTGTTTCGAGCATTCTGCCGGCTACTCCGAATTAGGTTTTCCTGCAGTTTTCCTAATTCGTAAGGTAAATACCGAAGTAGTATAGAAGAACTTAAGACCTTCTGCAGAGGCACCTCTAAAAAGCATTATGCGGGTCATTCTGTAATTGGGCGCAAGCCTGTTGAGGGCCCAGAACAAGAGAGGGATAATAAATAAAAAAATTAAAAAAAATGTGGTCCCTGCGACAAAGGGACATAAAAAACACAAATGGATGGACAAACCAATAAGGAAATTATATCCTAGGTGGGTACAGGGCTTGATCCTCACTCGATCCCATCCCGGATCGCTCAAGGATTCGGGGGGGGGGGGCACCTACCTCGTTCTTTTCCACTCTAGAAAAGAAAGGTGTTGAAGTGGACTGAACCGAAGCACAACAGAGGATGTCAGACGAAGAAGAAGAGACATTAGAAGTAACGCGGAAAAGGAAGAGGCATAAAGAAAGACAGTCCAAAAAGTAAGAATCAAACGTAGAACAAACAAAACGAACCAACAGCGAGAAATACCATATCAAGATCGACGTTGACGGCTACCAAATCTTATCCCTGTTTGAAATACAAAGAATTAAAGCGAGATACAAATGCTTGGATTGTCAAAAGGTGCGCAGACCCACCTAAATGTGTGAATTGCAGAGCACCTCACACAAGTGATTATACCGGGTGCTATATTCATAAAAGAAAAAGAAATTGTGAAGTTAGAACTAAAGTAATCGTCACAAGAAAAAGAAAGGTAGATGGTTTTCGAACTTCCCTGCTATTCCAAGAACACCTCCAATTTTGAGTGAGTGAAATATCTAGGAATCACTTTTGACAAAAAACTGAATTATGAAGCAAACATATACAGCTCAAAGTGGCTGTACACTGCCGTGACAATACTATGTTTTGCTATGGAGCAATTGTCTGGTGGCCTAGAATCAAACTATCCACAACCACAACTTCTTAACGACGTGCAAAGACTTGCGTGCCTTGTTTGCATGGGACGATGAGAACAACTCACATAGCCGTCATGGAGGCTGGGTCTGCCTCCACGGGGGAGAGTAGGCCACACTAGCAGTCTTGCGTCTGAAAAATAAGGGTTTGTTGAATGCAGAGGTACTGAGGTGGGCCATTCTCGAATTCTGTGAGATGATAAAGCGATTGCCTATCCTAGAAGGGCGATCAGACTGCACAGGAACAGACGCTGTTATTTACTCTAAAGAACTGAACTTCCATATCACCCAACCACTAGGCAAACTTTCTACTATATTCCAGTTGAGTTGGTAGGACTATAACCCTCAGTGCAAGAATACTTATTATGCATAACAAAGAATAAAACGATCACAATCTCCAGTGACAGCAAGGCTGCTCTGCAGGCACTTTCTGTCACTGTAAAATTATACTCTAGGTTGGTTTCCCAATGTCACCATGTACTAGAGCAAGTAGCCAGCAACAACACCCTTCAGCTTGCATGGGTCAAAGAGAATGCTGGAATGGAAGTGAATGAGCTAGATCAACTGGCCTCAAGACAGGTGCTTTATGGTCCAGAGTTGGCTCTTCCACTTTCACCTGTAACTGTAAACAACTTAATAACTCAAGACACCCAAACCCAGCAGATGGCTAGATGGAGCATTGATGTTAAATTATTACCATGTGAGAGAAGCCTTCAAAGCGGCATCTCATAGCTTGGCGCGTTTTTGCACAGAGCTATCAACAAAGAACCTGAGGTTACTCATGGGTATACTTTCTCGACACTGCAAGCTAAACATGGGTTTGGTTGACTCACCATCTTGGAAAGGATGTTACACAGACGACGAGAGCCGCCTCCCCTTCCAGCATCCTTAGGTTCATCTCACGTGTGGGATGGTTCGAGTGGCATCGAGGGGTTGAATGGGAAGCGAAAGGGCCCGAATTTGGGGCCCTGTCCACCATCCTATCATAATCCAGATTTCCTCAACCGGTAGGCCCCTAAGGTAGGAGTTAGGAGTCATCATAATAATAATCAATTTTATTGAATTTAGTGGTATAAATGTGTACAAACAAACGTAAAATTTATTATCATTTAATGGACTTAGTATAAAGCCAGTTATTAACAAAACAAATCTTTAAAGTGTTGTATCTTTAATATTCAATTAGGAAGAGATATGTTCAGTTTAATTCTTCCCGATATTGCACTGTTTGAAAAGGGTTGAACAGTGAAATATTTGGCCCCGGCATTAGGTTTAGTCTACCAAATTCTTTAAACAAACACTAAATTATAATCTCTCCCCCTAATAGTTAGATACGTGACCATTCGTAAATAGTAAAAATCCAACACCACACATTACTAATACTCAGATGCCTTGGACGTTATTAGTTTAATAGTAACTTTTTTAATCTATTTCACTATTAGTTTTTAATCTGTTTAGCCTAAATATTGCAATAGCATAAATACTAAAAGAACTAACTCTTGTCAAATAAACAACTTAAGTAATTTATATACTATACATCATCGCTGCTTAATCTCTTACCATACTGCTTATGCCTGGAAAAACAGTTTCAACATTTCTGATTCGATCAAGATATACAAACATTTCTGTACAAATAGCTTAACTTAAGTAATCATTAAATAACAGCACAGGCAAGATATAAGAACATTAAAAATTACCTTAAATAATTGTAGGACTAGATTAAATACTGAAGTTAAATTCATGTTAAAGTACAATATAAACAGATTAAGTTGTTGCAAATCATGCAGAAGTTAGATCATTAGAGATGCATTATGAGATTCACGCTCTTTAAAACTAAATGGTACGATCGGGTAAGGGAGAAACAGCACAAATTTAGCTTAGCTTTAGCTTTTTGATATGTACGAAATTAGCTAATAATTTCTTCACTGATCTAGCACACATAAGCTATGTTAAAACACTAAACGCACAACATCATGACAAGATTGTAAATTAAACATATAAATGGTTACACTGTACATTGTTGCTGCTACCACCAAAACTGAGCACTGTAATTTGAATTGTTGAATAATTTTATTATGGTCTGCTCATTGTTTGGCACAGGTTACAATACTGTTTTCTTTGGCTCGTTTTAAATTTAAATGCTGATCAACGTCAGCAAAGTTGAAATTGTTGTGAAGCGGAACACACAATTCGTTATAAAACTTCCACGGCCTAGATAAGGTTAGATTTAGAAACTGTACATTCTTTTAACTCGTTGAAATATTCTAATAAATTACTGTGATAATCAACAAACATGTAAGGAAGTTAAACTACTTCTCAAGGGGATTTAGCAAACATATATTTACCAATTATATATTTAATCACTATTTAAGTATCAACAATAAATAACAATATACACATGCTAACTATGTATATCACATAAACTAGACATTTGAATCTTCTGTTTCAGTTCTACGGAAGATGGATCTCAAACCAAGTGTAATTCTATTCTCTATTCAGTTGCTTTTCAGAGAAAATTCGTTTTGACTAGTGATCTTTGAATAAATTCGACTGGGCTATAATGCATTAGGTACTATAAAAAATCGTTGGGTTACTTTATCTAAAGGTAGATGTGTGGTATACATGATGTCAGTTATTAGTTTTATGGGTATTTTATTAATCAAGATGCTGGCAACAAAAGGGCAGATGTTCTGTTATTTTGAGGCTAATCATTAACGCAGACAAGGTGTCCGAAAATCATGTGCGGCAAAAAAATTTGGTGTAGCCAGTTAAAATAAACTGTTGACGATTTGAATTTAGAAACTCCGAGATGGAAAACATAATTTTACCTAAGTCCCAAAATGTAACTAGGTATATCCAGAGCTTCAGTAACAATATCTTAGGTACTTATCCAAATTGAAGAATTGGTTTGAGAAAGTGGGCACCTACCTAGATGAGTAAACCTACAAAGATCCGCAAGATCTTTCGGAGCTAAACTAGAAAAGTCAGTTCATCAGTAATGACAATATGTCCAAAGACCAGATGGTGCACTTTTTGTGGATGGAGAGGAAATTTGCCATTGCATGGGAGCAAATATTGTTTAAAAAAGGTAACAATGAACACAGGTTCATTTATAAAAAGAACCATTTACACGAAACCAGTACATACCAACCAACACTTTGTTCAAATGGATTAGGTATGGCAACAGCAAGCACTGAAACTACTTGTGGGTGTTGAACAAAACAAAAACAGCAATAAACCGCAATAATGGCCCGTATGAATAAAAATAAGCAAATGCTTATACTTGCAAAATTCAAAGTAAATACTCGTAAGTGCTCCTTCGCACTGGGCGACTTAGCAGCGCTTCTAAGCAGAAGGACAGGACGCAGTGCAGTACTGCTAAACCATGCTAAAGAGACCAGTATGAAGGGGTAGTTATGAGTATTTACTTTGAATTTTGCAAGTATAAGCATTTGCTTACTTTTATTCATACGGCCCAATATATTAAAACCTAAAGGTAAGATTTTAATATATTATTGTGGTTTATTGGTGTTTTTGCTTTACTTTTGCAGTTATGGTAACACTTAGTACAGGGTGAGTCAACGATTGCGCGGAGTGACAATACCTTGAAGATAAGATTTTTCTATAGAGTGCTTTTGTATTGATATGGTTGAATATTCTCCACATTTTAAAAATATTTGGAATTATACAAAGTAGGGCGCCCAAATGGTACATTTTTTTAAATAGAACCCCTTGTATTTGAATGCATTTTTGAATTCTACGTGTAATTGTACGTCTTTTTAATTATTTGGTTAATATCCGAAAAGCTAGTAGTTTTAAAGGTAATTCGATTTTTAAGAAAAATTGGGCATTTGCAAGCATCAGTATATGTATATTGTCAAAATTATTACTTAAATTTTGATTTCAGGTTTTATATCTTTTCTCCTGGGTTAAGTAAAAGTCAAATAAATACATCTACTATGACATATTAAAAATATAGCTTACAGGGTGTTTTTTGGTAGGTCCAAAGTTGCAAAATTTCATATTAAAAATCTCACTATTTTAAAATGGAACACCCTGTATATTTTTCTGTCGTCATTTAGCTCCTCCAAAAACCTTCAACTTTTGATAATCATGTCCTATACCTATTTCTGGTAGTTTTTTATCTATCTCGGCCAAAACGAAAATCATATCGATTAATTTATTTTTCAAACAATTTATTTTAAGTACAAAAACTGGAAATTAAGTAAAAACATTTGACTACAAAGCAAATTTAATTTTACTCCTAATGTCATCCAGTCAGTGATATTAGTTTAATTTTTTTTTCATATCCACCTCGTTATTATGTAAATTAGAACTTATTTGAGATTAAAATATAAAAAGTAGAAAAACCAAGATATTTGTTTATGTTTTTACTATCAAATTTATTCTCCAGTTTTTATAGACTTAAATGAATTATTAGAAAAATGAATTAATAAATATGATTTTAGCTTTGAACGAGGCAGATAAAAATTGCCTTTTGTTTGCATGGCCACCTCACTATTATGTAAATTACATATAACTTATTTAAGATTAGAATATAAAAACCAGGAAAACCAAGATGTTCCGAAAACTATCAGAGTTAAGTATAGGACATTATTATTAAAAGTTGAAGGTTTTTGGAGGAGCTAAAAGATGACAGAAAAATATACAGGATGTTCCATTTAAAAAAGTAAGATTTTTTAATATGAAGTTTTGTAACTTTGGATCTAGAAAAAAAACACCCTGTTGTAAGCTATTTTTAGCGCATTTTTGAAAAAAATACGCTATTATATTCGTTATTGCTGGCAGGCCGGCTGTCCGCGTTAGATCTCCACAACTACAATAGCTAGAGACTTCAAATTTTCACTAAAAGCTTTCTGCTATAGTGTAGATGTGCAGGCACTAGTCTATTTTGAGTTAGATTACTTGTGAGATCGATAATTGAAGAAAATAATTTCGATATGGGTTTCGGAGGTGCTATAATTTTACCGTTAGATAGCGCTACTAGTATAAAAACTTATTATTTACTTTGTGATTTGTTTTACAAAATGAAGACGTACCGTCAATTGAAATTAAATAAAATTAATTATTTAACGCAGCCAAAATTACTTGTGAGATCGATCATTTTAAACTTCGCTAATAAAATACTGACCTGCATTACCAAAAATGCGCTTTAATCATGCATATGCTGATTTACAACTTGTTTTAATGTTTTATAGTAGATGTATTTATTCAACCATATCATAATACAAAAGCACTCTATCGAAAAATCTGAAGCTGAAAAAAGAAAAAGACTGCTTCTGTTAGTTGTTTATCATTCTATCAGTACATACAGTTCATAAATTTTAACTCGTGAACATACAAATCTCCTGCACATAAAACTTGTATGTTCAGTTCTAAAATTTACACGTCAAATCAGTGGCGGTTTCTCAATAAGTGCACTCCCAAAAATCATATTGAAAAAACGAAAACAATAACAATTCTATTTATGTATTTAACATTCTTGCACGTTTGTATCTCTCAATAAAAATGGTTCACTTATCTTATCTGAAATGCAAAACCTAACGGGTACACTGACACACTGCTGAACGTGTAATAAGAATTATTCCCATTCCGCCTTCGCGTGCAGTGCTCAATTAACTACGATCTCTGATTCGTTCAAACGCTACCTCGCCTTTCCCCGTGCGCCCCGCGAAGGTCCAAGTTGTAAACTATAGTAAGAGCACACTCTCATTGTGAACAGTATTCGCCGGACTATGAAGTAGGGCTTGTTGATCGTTTCGGTTTTAAAAAGTAACGTTGCGATGTTACCGTTCATTATTTAAAGACAATTATTAAATTTAATCTACTAAAATTAGAAGATCAAATTAAAATAAAAAATGCGGGTCGCCCAAAACCGAGTTTGGAAATATATCGAAAATCAATAAAGGAAGTCGGGATTATAATAATAATAATAATATTTAATGTCCAACAGAAAAAAATACATTTTCCAATTACAGGACAACAACAGATTAATAGGTATAGAGTACAAAATAATATAAAGAAAATGAAACGAAATTCTAACCTTATGAGAAAAATACAGATTATAAACGATCGTTTAAAATAGACATGTATGAAAAAACTGAGTGGTTATGCGGTTGTACCTTTAACAATAGTATTGTTTTCTGTGTTTGTTGTTTGGTGATGAGCTCGGTGATGAGGCATCAGAATGGACAAAGAATGGCGTTACAAACTCACGGCCGGTTGCAGGAACGCGAATTATAAACGAAATCTTACATTATTTGCCAAATCTGAGTTTAAACAAAAATTTTGACATTTGATTGGCTGTCTACTGCAATATAAAGCCAATCAAATGTCTTAATACCGGATTAAACAATAATCCTGGATTTTTTTTGTGCAACTGGCCGTTAGTGCATTTATCCGAAAAAATTAAAAAATATCAATCTTCAAAGGAACATATATCTGCTAAATTGAGATTTAATTTATTAGGTAAGCAAGATATACGGCAACAGTTAAATAGTGCATACCGTTTGAGTATCGAAAAACGTAATAGGAAATACAAAAGAACAGGTATGTTTTATCCAAAATTATAGACCGTATAAAATTTTGTGGTGCTTTTGAACTTGCTCTCCGCAGCCATGACAAACGAGAAAATTCAATAAACCCTGGAGTATTTAGAGGTCTCATGAATAAGCTTTTTATGCCATTTAATAGGCTCTTTTTTTAATTGTGCACGCCCAAGACACACCACTACGCGCCGCCACTGTGCCAAAGCCGACTCGACAGCAATTCATTTTTATGGAAATGTATTTCAATAATCACAGTAAGATACGATAACATCCGAAAAAGTCAAACTTTTCGTTTTCACCCTATATCTCAGAAATAAACATAGATAGATGGATTCAGTTTGTGACCTTACAAGTGTCACAAAAAATTGACAGAGGGTCACAAAAACCGCAAGTCTATCTTTAAAAACAGCTGAGATACACCACAGTCTCAACCAAAATAGGACACACAGTACACTATGAGAACAGTGCCAAACACGAAACTTTCACCATCTATGTAAAAATGAACACTTATTTGTCAATTGTTTCATCACAAAGTAACTAGTCAGACTAATTTTCTCTTAATTTAACCAAATGACTCACATTTAGCCGATGTGTGTTCAAGAACATAAAGATATGTAGTACACTCTACAAAAATCGTATCACATTTATCTCACCCAACTTTTTCATTAGGTACCTTTTTCAACTTCCAAAGAAACATTCTGTATGGTTGTACAGTTTTGATAATAAAGTTCCAATTTTGCTTTTTTTTTAAAATAAGACTTATTAACATCAATAAATTTTGCAAAAAAAAGTAGATTCATATTTTGGCTAACAATTTCCAATCATCCAGGGAGCTGCATTAAAATTGTAACCTTTGCTGCCATTGTTCGACATTGATTTTTAATTATTAAGGATGAGCCAACTATAGGATTGTTATAGCTAATTAATTAAGTTAGCTCGCTAAAAGTACCTTTTGTATTGTGTTATAATTGTATAACATAAAACAAGCCAAAAACATAACTCGAGGTGCTCCATACCCAAATCTAGTGATTAATTCGAGAAGGTTTTACGTACTTAGGTGTAACAATTACATTGTTATTTACAGTTTACAAATCTCACATTCCCGTACTAAGCACTGCGAAATAAATCAGGTACAATATAGAGAGCCTAGCACTCATTATAAATAAAGCGAAAAATAGTTCGGTGAACAAATATAGGTATTTGTTTAAACCACTCTTATTATATACCTTAGTGTAAATTGTCAGTTACATAGTAAACTTCATTTTAGGATAGGTAAATGTATTAATAAATAGGCAGTTCGCAGTTTTCCACTTTCGGACTATTATTACCTTCACATTTATGTCATTCTTCTAGTTCGTCCATACGACACCTGACAGCCATTTCAACAACTTCCAAACTGGGATAGTCTAGTTCTTTAACCAAACAAAGCACTGCAGATAAGATGTTGGAATTCTGAAAATACATTTATTAGTAGACACAATTTTTTCTCTGACTTTTACTGATATATCACGAATGTCTCTTGTGGTAGTGAAAATGGATTAACTAGCTCTACAGCGTGTTGCATCGACAGGCAAGACATAGGAAATCCCATGGAAATTTAAAGGAGGTTAATTATTGGCTTCCCTAATTATTTTAGAGGAAAAATCTACTTAGGGTATTTGAAGAGCATTTAAATCTGCATCGAAAAGAATAACTTTCGATGTTTAATGAGATATTGCCAAAAGTATTTTATAATTTCTCCTTTTTACATTTACATACTTTCTCTTCAGTCTCTTTCAGTATGACAACTTCATTTGACAGTCAACCTTTACCTCAATTGTTCCCTGTAAATACGGGGCGATAAGAAAGGAGAAACTACACAATATTTTTGGCAATATCTCCTTAAAGGGTTAATCAAAAAAATCGAAAGTTACTCTTTTAGATGCATATTTTAATGCTCTTCAAATAACCTAAATAGATTTTCCTCTAAAATAATTAGGAAAGTCAATTAACCTCCTTCACATGGAATTTCCTATGTCCCGGATGTCGATGCAACACACTGTGAAATGCTTACTCTAGTAACTGGCCTCCTATTAAATGGTGGCTGATGACTTGCTGGACAATTATATCGTTCTCGCCTATTTGCCGCTTCGTGACTCTGATTTGAGATTTCGCTACCCTCATTTTGTCGATAGTTATTCTGTGGATGGTATTTTTCTCCATTCGTGTAATCCTAAAATATTGTTAGCGTTTTAAATTAAATTTTGCACATGATTATTAATTAATTATGCGATAAAGGGAAGTTTTACCCATTCAGCGAATTAATTTTCACAAGCTGGTTAGATTGCCTTTGTCATCATATATAGTACAAAACTTTAGTTTATAGCAGAAGTCATACAAATCATTATAAATCTTCTGTCAATTTTGAATTTAATTTAGATGTAGCTTAAGTTCTCCCATAGAAACAATATTGATTTCCCGAACTTCATTTTACTTCCTGCTCCCCGAGCCACTTTTAATAGTAACCTAAGAGCCAGTGGTAGGCATAACCTGTATGTAAATTATAAAATCTGAAATTTTGCCTAATAAGTGTCTTGCAACTACCACTACCACCCATGAGATGGGGCCTCGCTAAGACCGGCGAGGGGGGTCCCTAGAGTTACTCAGGTGTGTCAGGTATGAAAATTTCACTATGTTCGTAACTATTTTATAAAGGCAGCTGTTTGATAATTTCAAAATATACAATTAAATAAAAAAACAATCGCAAACGATTATCACGGTTCCAAGGTCATGGCAGACAAAAATGATGACATTTTAAAGGTTTGTATATAAAAACTGACTTTTTTAATATGTTGTTTATTAGAGTATTAGAAGTCTATTACAGCATTATCTTACTACTGCCCGAGTATATTTTTATATAGGTTTAAATGTTAGGTTAAGGAAGTAATTGTCTGTGATATTAAATAGCTTGTAAGAAAATGATCCATGGTGATAAACAAAAATTCTCTGTTTTTTATCCTTTTTAGTACATACATATACAGGCTGTTTCACGCAAACCGTTACCTAACAGTTTTCAGGCTATCATTAATAATTTAAATCTGAAAATTTGCATTCCAACATAGTTTTTTGTGATATATCAAAAAAAAATATTACCATGATCATTTCACACCTTGTATTTTATTGCATTTTCGAAATCGACATGGTTTGATACCATATTTCCCTATACCCTATTCAAGATTTTTCCAAATTGCTATTCTTTTCAGTCCTGTACCTATGACTCCCTTGACTTGAATTTCAAAAAGTCTTCTAAAATCAACAATGCTGACTTGATGGTACATTTGAATGATTTAAATTTTAATCGCCCTTCTACAGAGTGTTTTAAAACTAATGGTCAATTTTAATAACTTCAAACCTTAAAAAGTTGATTTTTTAAATGAAACTTGCTTTATTTTTTTGCACTTTCAAATGTCAAAAAAATTCTACATAAATCAAGTATGCATTCCCTATATCTATCTGTTATGCTGTCTTGTTTTATTTTAGGTTTTCTAAAATTGTGACCGTTATGCATAATTTTCTTAGAAGGCCTTGAAATAAATGCGTTAGTAGACCTGTCAAACCTTTTTATAGTTATAGTTGTTAGCATTCCTTGTTGATGGTAGTTTATATCACTAAAAATTAAAATAATCCTATTAACCATAATTAAAAAGTTAAATAAAGATGCCATAATAAACCGAAACAGGTAATAACAAACGACAAAATAAAAAACAAACATCAATTGAGGTTTTGTTCTATGTGGCTACCGGTTTTTTCAATCCAAATAGGATCCTCCGATGAATCCCGTTGGTAGTCGCCTCTCGAATGTCTACTGCATCCATTTCATCAAAAGCTCTTCTCACCCTAACTTCCAGTTCCTCACGAGAAGCAACTGATATAAAGTAAACTTTGTTTTTATATGACCCCAAACATAAAAGCCCAGTGGCGTTATATTTGGAGATCTAGGCCAACGCCCCAATCCACCTATCTTCAAAAATGTTGAACAAAGACATAGTGAATTTTTCGCATTTAAAAAAAACTCGCTGTATAAGCATCATGGATAGAACTGCTCCGTCAAGTTGAAACAAGTTGTTTTTTTCATGTAGTGTCTCAAGTAGCGGTACAATAACATCTACTAACGCATTTGTTTCAAAGCCTCCTAAGAAACATATGCATAACAGTCACAATCTTTGATCGATGTAGAATTTTTTTCGACATTTGGAAGTGCAAAAAAAATAAAGCATGTTTCATTTGAAAAAATTTTAAGATTTGAAGTTTTTCAAGTTGACCAATAATTTTAAATCACTCTGTAGAAGGGCGATCAAAATTTAAATCATTGTCACGCGGCATCAAGTGAGAACTGTCGATTCTGGAAGACTTTTTGAAATTTAAGTCAATGGGGTCATACATTTTGAAAAATCTTGAATAACTTGAAAACCTTTGATGCGTATTGGGAAATGTGGTATCAAAGGACGTAGATTTTATGTAGATTTCGAAAATAGAATAAAATATAGGGTGTTCATTTTAAAATAGGAAAGTTGCTATCTACATCCGGTAAAACCGGAAGTGAAACGATCATGATAATATTTTCTTTCAATAGTTTTTCAGATTTAAATTATTAATGGGAGTTTTAAGTAAGGGTTTGCGTGAAACAGCCTATATAGAATTTTTTTATAAAGTTGAAGCTTGGAATAAACGAGAGTCGAGATATAGTGTTATAAAGAGGGACGCAATGAGGACGAAATATTGAGTTCTTATGTTTACATAAGCATAAGAAAATAGATATCCCAAAGATTTTTTCTTTATTTTTTGGCATTTACTTTTAAGTGGGCTGGGTTTCAGCCATGGCTGCTCTACCAACCCTGCCCACTCTAAATTTACAAATATGCAGGCCTGAATCCGGATTCGAACCAGGGACCCTCAGTACTGCAGTTCCACTTCACTGCGACACCTTGATGGTTGCTGACGTTAATTTTGCATAGTGGCGCAACCTTTCTACAATTGTTTCTGGTTCTACATAATCCCTCTTTGATGCGTTACAAATTGATTAGTATTAAAATTTAAAAACACCTTTTTTAGTTATTAACATGTTGTATATGTCGCAGAAAATAAGAAAATAAGCATTATTAAATAATGTTTTAACATAATGCAGCTATTTTGCAACACTCTGTAGGAACTATTTTTATTATATTGTATAAGAAGAGAAAGAAAAGACAGAATACAACAATAAACAAACCTTAATGCTGTTAGTAGATTGACTTGAAACCAATTTCATATCTCTATAAGTACCATCACCGCCTTCATCAGCACTGTTGTTATTTGTAGGTGATTTCTGCTTTATATACATTAGAAAAGTTAGAGATGCATGAAAATGCGTATTTCCCTGCAGTTTAAAATAGTTTGGAATTGAGCTTAGCTTACCTCATAATATTGTGCTGTCTGCCTCGGTTGATACTCTTGTTCGTAGTTGTTAGATCTCCTATCGGAATATTCTTGCTCGGGTGAATAATTTCCTCGTACGGCTTCCATTCGCCTCGGCGGACTGGGCTACCCATAAAATATAGTCTTAATTTCAAATCGCCGTAACAACGCGCAAAGTGTATTATACAAGGTTAGACTTGATAATAAAGTGGCATGGTTTCAGCAGGTGAAATATGAAAGTACGTACCTGCATTTGTGGCAAATACTCTTGACTGTCAGCAATTGCATTAGAATCATCTCTCTCATAATAATCTTCCCCTTCGTCTGCTTCGTATTCGGGCTGATTGGAATTAATGTAGTTAAACAATGTTAATGGCAACTTAACGAATGATAACATATTATAAGCGTGATAATTAAAATGATTCAAACAATTCTGTTAAGTGAATAAACACAGTGTTTCAAAATTGAAAACTGAAATGCACACACCAATTACAAATTTGCAACTGCAAAGCATGTAAGTGTCTCCCAAAACAACAATATAAGTACGCTAAGTCAAAGTCATAAAGTTTAGGACGGTTTTATGCACGGCGCTTTGGAACGCGGCAGTTGGCGTGTCCACGCGTTTTTATCACGTTGGCTGTAGCGCGTTCGTTCGGAACACGTGTATGACATTTCGGTAAGTTTCACACGTTTTTTTTACAGAAAGTGGGGAACAAAAAAATTAGAACATCGAATTTTCAAATCCGCGAAATTTGCAACATTTTTCCTTCTCGTGCATGATTTTTCAAAATTACAAAAAATGCACAAAGTAAGTGATTGAAAAACTCAACTTTTTTAATAAGAAAAATTCGTATGTATACAAACATGACACAAATTTAGCACATTAGCACAAAAAATTCTGATGAATATACGCGGTTCTCATGCAGTTTTCAACAGTGTAATTCTAATTTATCGGTAAACGGCGCTATTTCATTAAACTTTTAAATTTGTAAACATTTTAATATAAACTTTGTTTTAAAAATCATTATTTTTAACAAATTAAATAACGCCGTTTACTTATACATTGTGGACACCATTATTAGCAGCTAATTTAATTGTAAAAATCAGTAACGAAATTACAGGCATAAATAAGATTTACCTGTTAGATGGCGCGTGATTATAAAAATCTTGTGTGTCTACGTGATGAATAAAGAAAGATATTACGAATGTGGCAACACCGCAGAGAGCCGTCTACTAATAGCGCCGTGTGCTTCTTCTTGGCAAACATTGTTTTGTTTCATGATATAAATGAAAACAAGGTATGCTAGATTGCCGTTCTAAATACGTCTAGTCCGCGCATGACGTCACACGGAGCTTAAAATTCGAATTTAAAACGATATTCTTATGGAATTTGTTTCTTAATTTTACTGCAAAAACTAAAATTTCTTAATTACATATAATGACTGAAAACCTGGTTTTTCCACTCCTCAATAACTTTACTCTCCAAATAAAGACAAGATAACAATGTTGATGCAAACGTTGTCAAATTATTCTAGTCCGTATATGATTTTGTCTCTTTGTGACACTTGACGTGGATCATGGTCTTGCAGTTAGCAGAGATGAAGAAGATTTGCAAAAATTTATTGTTGTGCTCAATGAAACTTTCTGGGTCAGTGATGCAAAATTTTATCTATAGTCCAGGCAACGAATGAATATGCCCGGTATGGTTGGAAGCGGAAGGTTTGACTTCAGAACCTTGTTTGGATCCCTTAGGAGGTAACCATACTCAAAGTCCCCAGGATTCCGACTGGAGCCTTCCCGGGGGCAGGGTCGCAACGGTCAACATTTTCTGTTTTTCGCTGATATCTTGAAAACGGTGCGTCTAGGAAAAAATTGTTTAAGAGCAAAATCAAAGCTCATAAAATTGTCTACAATTTTGATTGTATACACTTTTTCGAAATTCCCAACCGTTTCCGCGATATAAGCTCCAGAAGGCCGGAAATTTTTGAAAAATTGTTTTTACCCACGCGTTTCGTCAAACATTCCTTATATCCTGTGAACCGATTATCTGAGAAAAAAGCCGCCGACGAAAAAGTTGTAAAACATTAAATTTCCTTTCCGAAAATGTGGCTCCTTTCCAAATTGTCGTAACCAGTCAAAAGTTACAGCAGTTTTAAGATTTCCTGAAATATTTCATCATCTATCCAGGAAAAATTATTAATATTATTACGTGATAAAATTTAAATAATAGAATGGATTATTCGCTGTCATTAGCAGTGGACGTGCAAGGTTAGTACATTGTGGACGTGGACCTTTTGAGTCTCTTCGGGCGGGCTGTTCTTCCTCAAGTGGAGCGTCTTCCGGTGAAATATCCACAATTTCGACCTCTTCGCCCTCTTCCTCTTCCTGGAGAGGTATCCCATTCAAACAATTTCCGTGGCAATTGTGGCAGATGGTTGAGCATCGCATGGAGGCCTTTTTGCACCCACATCTCGCAGAACTGCAGTCTGTCGTGCATCTGCAGAAAATACAGTTGACTATTTCTTCCGGTACAGCTGGATCAGTTGTGAGGACTGGTATCAGGTGGTTGTTGTGATCCCTTTTCCCAGCCCCATTGGTCGGGGGAGAGGTCGTTCTCCAGCCATTGCTGGACCTGGTGGTACACTCGAAAGCTGTGTTGTCGTGCTGCTCCCTCGGATGGTGGGAGAGACGAGATATCTGGCTTCACTGTGGACACAGACTTCAGGAAGCATTCATGGCGATAGCTGTTTTTTTTTTGTCTAAATTACCCACTTGGATGCCTATTTATTGTCCTTATATCATAAATGGAAGTTAAAATGGAAAATAGCAGGTGCGAAGGTGAGAAATCATTGAAATTGTTGCATATAGAAGATGACGAAAAATTTCAGGAAATTTTAAAACTGCTGTAACTTTTGACCGGTTAAACGATAATTTGGGAAGGAGCGATATTTTCGGAAAGGAAATTTAATGCTCTACAACTTTTTCGAAGGCGGATTTTTTCTCAGATCATCGGTTCACAGGATATAAAGGAATGTTTGATGAAAAACGTGAGGACATAAAAATTTTTAAACCGACTTCCGACCTTGTAACAATCAAAATTGTAGACAATTTTATGGGCTTTGATTTTGCTCTTAAACAATTTTTTCCTAGACGCACCGTTTTCAAGATATCAGCGAAAAACAGAAAATGTTGACCTTTGCGCCCCTCCCCCCGGGAAGGCTCCAGTAGGAATCGTGGGGACTTTGAGTATGGTTACCTCCTAAGGGGTCCAAACAAGGTCCTGAAGTCAAACCTTCCGCTTCCAGCCATACCGGGCACACCCCCCTTTTAGCACTCGTTGCCTGGACTACTAGGATTGAACGTTCAAAAATTGGATCATGGTTCAATTCACAGAATAAGATGGTGGTTCAATTTTTATTTCACAGGGAGGCTACACTTGTCAAATTTCTGACCAGTTTAAAATGTCGAGTGGTAATCTAGTTTCAACGTTTATTGAAAAAGGTGCTTGTGAATATCTCAAACGAAAGGAATTGGAGACCAAAATTCCAAATCGTGAAGTTATTGGGTTGTTTTTATTCCTAATTGTAGCTTCAAGACTGGAAATTTGTTTTGCTGCCGAATCTTGTACGCTGGTGGTTCCATTACTTGCTCAAGCAAATTGCAGAAATGAGATGTCTACAACCCAATCCTTAATGATTCAGAATATTAATGTGTTGCAGAGTCATAGTCTTTGATAACAGATATGTATTGTAAAATGTCACGATGCGTTTGCCATGTTACATTACAGTTCTTGTTATCATTAATTACAACTATTTACCATTCAATTCGTGCAAGATTTCTTTATTTATTTTGCCACAGATCTCATTAAGTACTGCAAGTAAGTAATGGTGGTATATGAGAAGTTGTGCTATTTAAAAAGAACCTCAAAGGTGTAAAATCTTTTGTTTGCATAGATTCCCACGCCACAGTAAAAATGGTCACGCCGTGATAAACGCGACATGAGTTTCTAATTGTTTACATGTTTTGTATAAGTGAATACACATACAATAGATTACCAATTAGATTTAATTAATACTGAACCCCTTTTCAGATTAAGTCAGTTTGTCGTGCGCTTTATTTCAACCGTCGTGCTAAATAGTGCAAAAAGGATCATAAAAAGAATAATAAGTGCACAGATAACACTGTCATTTTCGAATAATGTCATGCACCAATTATATTAAATGTATACAGAGTGGCCCAACGAGAAGTATACAGAGGGCTTTTAGGGTATTATATTTAGAAATTTCGAAAAATTCTCGAACACGTCAATTTTGTATTCAATGGGGACAACTTTTGGAATACAAATCACAAACCCAAGTCTTCACCCCTCTACGTAGGGAGCTTAACCCCTAAAATTTTAAATGGAATCCTATGGGAAATGGCACATTATTTGAAAGCCGATTTAATCGTGATTACTAATCTGCTTTGCTTTTTAAATTCTATTGATTCGTTTCGGAGATAATTCGCATTCGAAATGGTTTTTTCTAAAAAAACCAAAACAAAAGTCACCTTGTATTAAAACTTTATTTTGACGTTTCAATTTGTTTGTTAAACTTAAGTGAACCTGTCAGTTCTCCGAAACGAATCAATAGAATTTAAAAAGCAAAGCAGATTAGTAATCACGACTAAATTGACTTTCAAATAATGTGCCATTTGCCATATGATTCCATTTAAAATGTTAGGGGTTAAGCTCCCTACGTAGAGGGGTGAAGACTTGGGTTCGTGACCCTCGAATACAAAATTGAGGTGTTCGAGGATTTTTCGAAATTTCTAATTTAATACCCTAAATGCCCTCTGTATACTTCTCGTTGGGCCACTCTGTATAAATATTAATAAAGTTTTTAATGTCTCATATTGACGTGCAGAGATCCTGCAAATACAATTAACAATTTAATTACACCTTGTATTTCATTCGCGCAAAAAGTTATCTTTACAGTGTTTAAGAATAACGTGAAAGAATATATGTCTCTTATTCAAAAATTGTTTCGTATATATTACAGTTTGCCCGCGATCGTGATATTCCTAAGAAAACTCCTAAGACTCCACTAGTAGTAGAGTGATAGACTGATCGTATATATTCAGCTGCTCTTACATTGCGTAAGCCATAAGCTTGATTCATTTTGTGTTTATAATAAAGATTAAATTATTTTACACCATGGGATATTTATGCTCTACTGAAAATATGTGCATGCACAAATTTAATGGGAAAAACAAGAGATACTGTCGCCGTTTGTTAATAACCTAATCAAGTTTTCAAACTTGCAATGTGCACAACTGTAAAGACGTGACATTACTGAATTCGCCATATGGTGTCTTTCAGCATGATGTTGGTGTCCAGTTATTAAGCACATGCTGTTCTCTTGCATTATAAATACAAAAAGTTTAATTATAGTGAGGTAAATTGTCATATAACATTAATCGAAAATGATCCAGCGATCTTCTCACACCTCACATAAGAATTTCCTGTTCTCTATTCAAATCTCTACTAATGAAATCTAAATGGGATTAATGCATAATTATAGAGGTGCGCCAATTACAGAATACACCTTTAATTTTGTGATATATTACAGATCAGAAATTTAGATATTTTCGCATGCAATAAAGTGAAAAACGTTTTTAATATGTTAATTCAGTCATTGGTTAATCCTTACCTCGTTCGTGGACGGACTTTGCTGAGGACTGTACTCATTTTCGGCCGGATATTCTTGATACCTTTGGTATTGACCCTGAGGAATGTACTCTTCTTCGCTATCTTGCGGATCCTCAGGGTGCGAAAGTCCTCTACCTTTTCGTGTAGCTTCTCGTAACTCGTCCTGAGTGACGGAAACGTTATCCAATTTTTGCAGTTGCGGAAGTGTCCTTAGCACAGCCATTCGGTACCTACAGGTTATAACGAACTGTAGAGAAAACGTTTACAGCAAAAACTACTCACCCTTCTCCTGTAGCACATGGATTTTCTCCTAACCATAAGTTTTTCAAGTTCGGCAATCCTTGGAGGTAACATATTTGGTTTAGATCACGGATATCATTCTGCCTGATGTATAATTCTTGTAGAGCACCACAATATTGGAAATCGCAAAGACTATTTATTTTGTTTATACTGCAAAAAATATTTAGTTGTATTTTTGTATCTACAGAAGTGATATGAGCGTCAAAAATAATGGGTGGTAGAATGGTTAATATCAACTTTTTTTTCTCTTTCCCTTTAGGGATTCGACATCGTAGAGTAGAAACTCCTGAAATCATGCTGGAAAAGTTGGCAACCTCACTAAGCTAAAAACTAAAAATTGTTGAATGGGAAACGAAATTTTGCAATGGGAACGCTTAGTTAAAAAAATATTTTTTGGCCCTAAGGCGAGTAACTTTAGCGCATTTTCCATGAATGATCAGTACTTCCCGAAAGGCCATAGCTATGTGCGCTGTGATTTTCTTTACTAGAGGCATATATGGTTAAAATTTCAAAGAAATATCTCCATAAACAAAAAAGTTGGCGTTGCGCAGTTCGCGCATGAGCATATTTAATTTATGCTATAGGTACGCGATGTTTGTTTTTACTAGAAGCGTTTATGATTAAACTTTAGAGAGAGATTTTCATAAGTAAACAAGTTGATATTTTGCTGTCTGCACATGCGTGGATTTGATTTTTACTCTGTTCGATATGTTTGCTTTTCCAATGACATTTGTAGTTTTCGATTTTTACTACATGTGATATGTTTTTCTTTACTAGAAGCATCCATGGTTAAAATAAAAATTTCAAAGAAATATTTTGATTAATAAAGAAGTTGGCACTGACTGCGCATGCGCACATCTAATTTTTGCAATATCAGTTATGTTTGCCTTTAACTGAAACATCTGTGATTAAAATTTCGATTTCGGTAAATAACAATTGAGATTTCGCATGCGAGCATTAATCTGATGTTTACAATATACGATACGTTTGCTTACACTAAAAGCAACTTTAGTTAAAATTTCAAAGAAATATCTCCATAAATAAGAAAGTTGCCATTGCGCAGTCTGCGAATATCTGATTTTACTATATGCGATCTGTTTGCCTTCACCAGAAATCTCTGTGGTTACATTTTCAACAAAATATATTAATAAATAAGAAAGTTGACATTGCGCAGCGTGCGCATGCGCACATTATTCTGATATTTACAATATGCGATACGTTTGCTTACACTAAAAGCATCTTTGGGTAAAATTTCAAAGAAATAACTCCTTAAATAAGAAAGTTGCCATTGCGCAGTCTGCGCATGCGCACAACTGATTTTTACTATATGCGATATATATATTTCACCGGAAATATCTACGGTTAAAACTTCAACAAAATATATTAAGGAAGTTGACATTGTGCAGTTTAATTGTCAAGATTTTCCTTGGCTCCGGTGCAAGAGCTATACGCTACGGAATGCAAAAAGAACGAACTTAATATCTTGAAAACTGTAGGAGTAGTTAAAGCCTCGAACAGACAGACCGACGGACGGACAGAGAAAATGACTGCAATAGCGCACCCAAATTCGTTGGAAAATGCGTTAAAAAAATCCCTTTGTGAATATGTCAACTATAGATGGATGCGCATGTACAGAAATTATTTATGAATGTACAGGGTGTCCTATTTTTACGGTGTCAATAGGTAACTGATTTTTTTAGTGGAACCTGTATATATTTATTTATTTCGATGTAATTTTTTTACCTCTGCATTTTTGGTTTTTTGTCAATGTTATCAAATTAATAATTTTTTTACGAATAAACAAGCCCTCCTTTGATAAATCTTGATGATTTTCAAGTTAAGGAATACATTTGATCAATAATGTTAATCTGAATAAAAGGAAACACGTCAGTACCTAATGAGAAAGTTGAAAATTATAACAAAGCTAGATTCCGTTAATCGGCAGCCCGATCGACGCCATCTTGATGTACCTGACAGCCCTACCTTTGGAGCCTACAGCCACAGAACACCCCCCAACTTCAACTGACGGGGATATCACACACCACAATAAACCCATCCAAGCATACCAACATAATTTTGTTGATGATATTGTCTCGGATATTGTATATACAGGGTGTACAATATTATTGTGCAAATAAATTCAAGTTTGGAGTCATGACTGCAGCTATCCGCGTACCTACTCAAGAACCCTTACATCACAATAAAATGCAAAAAGAAGCATTAGTGTTGCCCAGGTCAAGAAAATTTTTACACTATTTAGTCTGTACTATAGAGGGTTTCAGAGCCCGATCCCGTCACGCAGTTTTTGTGCAAAATTACATGCTCTATCATTTACACAAAGAAGTTTTTTTTATACCTTGTGCGCGCGAGTGTGATTTTCGTGAGAAATCTGTATAAGACTTCACTACTATAGCGGAAATGTGATTGATACTGAAACGATGTTTCTCGTCCCTCTCTAACATTGATTGCATTGAATATTGCATACACCTTGTACTACAGTATAAAGTGTGGTACACAAAGCAGTTCGACGGGAGTTATTAAACTTTTGTTTAGATGTTGTTGCTTGTTTCATCTACACTATATCTATTTATGAGACGAGGACAACTTAGCAGTAACATCCACTATTCATCCAATCCCATATCTTTATTGTCTTTACTGTGTTTTCAGACCATTATAGCATAAGTATACAGTGCGTTTCAAATAATAGGGACACCTCAATATCTCTTTTAATTGACGAGATACGAAAAATTTGGTAAATTAATATAATTTTATATGTGACGTTACGATCTATCTGATCGCACAATGAAACTTTCGACATCACTTCCGTTTTAACCGGAAATAGATGCAACTTTTATTTTTCAAATGCAATGCCTATGTATTTTACTATACAGGTTGATTCAAATTCGAGGGCCACCATCGGAATCTCGGGAAATGTAAGAGATTATCGGTAATTTACGCAAAAATCAAGTTCGTCTAACTACTTCACTAAATTGCATTAAATACTATGGGAGTAAATTTTACAATAAAATACCTTTGAAATATCGATCATTACCAATAACTCAGCTAAAAAATGTTATTAGCAATTATCTAAAAGCAAATGCCTTCTATTCAGTGAACGGGTTTCTTCAATCCCAGTCCGTTGATCTGTGATATTCAGGCTTAATATATTTTAATTTGTTTTGTTTGTCTCTCTATGTAATTGTAGTTTGTTGTTTACCTTGACGAATCTTATATAGTTCTACTATTATTGATAATAAAGTATTGATTGATTGATAGATAGGTAGTTTAAATTTGGCAAAGTTGCGTATTTTGATGCTTAACAAAATGCAGTTTTGAAACTTGAAAAATTCCGACTACTTTCGGAGATATCGGGAAAACACCGAAGTTTTGCAATTTTGCTTTATTTTTACTGAAGTTTTTTAAAAAGATATTTCGAAATAAATAATACATTATTATGACCATCATCAACTTTGTTTTTTCTTATAGAAGTAATTTTTACTTTTTGTGTCATTTGATAGAGAATTGTTTTCTGATTTCAAAAACATTTTTAGGTACCTATTGTTAAAATATCTTCTTTTTTACCTAGAAAACTGTGTCTTAGATAGTGTACGTACGTAGTTTCTTGCGTTTTTACGAATTAATAGCGCTATTTATGATTAAAAGATAGTGATGTTTACATTTTTGAAATCAAACAAAAATTCTCCATCAAATGCCACAAAAAGTAAAAATTACTTAAGTAAGAAAAAACAAAGTTGATGATGGTTGACTGGAGAGGAAACTCAAACTTAAAATTTAAAAGTAGCATCTTGTAGAGGGACAAAAGTGGCCATAATAATGTGTCATTTATTTCGAAATATCTTTTTAAATAACTTTGGAACAAATAATAACGATTTTGCAAAGTTACAGTTTTTTCCGGATATCTACGAAAGTAGTCAGAATTTTTTAAGTTTCAAAACTGCATTTTGTTAAGCATCAAAATACGCCAAATTTAAACTACCTACTTTACAGTTCCCGAAATCCCCATGGTGGCCTTCGAATTTGAATCACCCTGTACGTACTATATTTCAAAAGAGCAATCAATTTACTGTACCACACCACAAAATATGCATATGGTTAATATACAAAAAAAATGGAGAATGGGGATTCAATATTTAGAAAATTTATGAAATCTAGCATTCCGTGTGCCATATCACACAGAAAAGACGTACAACAACTTGTTCAATGTTTCATTTTTAAGATTTACTTTTGCACGATACGATCTCCCCATGTAATGGCAACAGGCACCGCGCACTCTGACAGCACACGGCATGCTAAATGTTGGAAATATTAAATCCCGAATTTCTTTATTTTTTTGTGTTTCAACCATGTGCATATTTCATGTCATACCGATAATTGATTGCTCTCTTCAAATAACTTCAAAAACCATAGGCATTGCAAGAAATGTGGCATCGATTTCCGGTTAAACCGTAATACCGGAAGTTTGGATATGCGATCAGATAGATCGTGATGTCACAAATAAAATTATATTTAACAAAAAATTTTTCGTATCTCGCCAAATAAAAGAGGTACTGAGGTATCTAAAATGCATTGCATTTGATAATGATAATGAAAACAAATTTGCAAACAGGTTGAGGAACAGACCCATTGTGTTGTTTTATTCATTTTAAAGCAGTCAGTTGAGTCAGTGCAAAAAAGGAAATGTAAATTAAATAAACAATGCAATTCTTCCCACTTTAACATCAACTCTAAACATTCGCAAATATATGCGGAAACGTTGACCACAGGTAGGCGGCATTAACATTCAATAATCTAATCAATTAGAATAAAGGTAGAAGGATTTATAGTGGATTACCTATTATAATAAATTTTTTTTTTTTTTGGCGATCGATTTCGACATTTATTGTCATCATCTGGCCTTAGCTAAAATATACATAAATAAAATCTCGTATGTTAACAAGTTAGAGGTTTTCTTACCGTCACGGTACCTTTGACGGTAAGAAAACCTCTAACTTGTTAACATACGAGATTTTATTTATGTATATTTTAGCTAAGGCCAGATAATGACAATAAATGTCGAAATCGATCGCCAAAAAAGAAAAAAAAAATTTATTATAATAGGTAATCCACTATAAATCCTTCTACCTTCATTA